AACTTCATGGTAGTTGAAAGTTGTCTTGAGTTTTATGTTCTTCAGGTGTAGGAGTGCTGCTCATGCTTTGCCAATTCTTCACTTCACATCCTCATCAGATCTCTCTTCGTTGTCAGTGAGACAGCCCAGGTACGTGAATTTTTTCACATCTTCCAGAGCTTCTCCATCAAATGTGATTACGTTGGTGTGCCAAATGTTGAATGTGAGGATATTTCATTTTCTTTTGTGTATGTTGAGGCATGTTGATGCAGAGATCGCTGCTACACGGATTGTCCTCATATGCATTTGCCCATGTGTATGGAAAGAAGTATCAGGTCATCTTTGACGCTCAAATCGTCTAGTTGCATCTGAGCTCTCCATTATATTCCATGCTTCCCTCTGGTCCGCACTTCGAATGCATCTGTGGGTTGTCCTTCATGCAATTAATTAGGACTTTCGTGGCATCAATCCAAGCTATGCACAAACACTTAATCTAACGTCATGTCTTACTGCAATAATAATCTTTTCTTGATTATTTTCTATTTCGTTTTTGTTAGTAATTTGACGATACATACATAGTTGTTTATTCTTGTTCTGTGTTCATATACACGCCTATTGAACTGTTCACTTATTTCACGTCCCTTTTATTTCTATTGCCTTATTTTCTCTCTTTCCTTCTTTAAACTCAATTCAATATTCTTCTCAGTTACTCATAACCTGATTTAACACTATTATTCCATTTTCATTATAACTTCTCTTTTTCAAATATAGCAAATGTAATGCTAACATTAATGCATTTTTGATGTAACCCGAAATGGTTTCTTCACAACATTTATGTACCCATAAGATGTTTGCGAATAACAATTATAATACATGACTTCTCAGTGTAGTGTGTCGTATGAATTCCGTATGATTTTGACGATTTTCTCAGGTACATCATGGTGTCAAAGAATTTTTCGTAAGGTTTTCCTAATAACGCTGTCAAACGCCTCAACATAATCAGGGAAGTTGATGTATGATGACGAGTTTTTTTGATGGATTGTTCAAGATGATCCATAGTGTCGCGATTTGGTCTGTGTACGACCGGTCCTTACGTAATCCAGCCTGTTGACCTCGAAGTTGGGCGTCTACTGGATCTTTTATACAGTTCAGAAACACTGTTCAAAGCTTCTTCTGGTACCGTTAGTAAATGGTTCAAATGGTTCAAATGGTTGTGGACGGAATAGAAGAAGCTTTCGCTTAACAGGCTTCCGTGTCTAGTAGCAGGGGATCACGAAATCCTCCAGGCAGGAACCTAGGTATGTTAACAATAAAAGAGAAAAAGAAATTGGTGGCGACTCTGTAGTTCTCACATTTGCTCTGCTCATTCTTTGATATATTGATGAGAAATCCTTACTTCCGGTCCTTTCGCACTTGTTGTTCCTCCTGAGTCTTCCATAGTCGAACGTGGAGTATGTTTCCAGTGACTTTTGTGTCTGACTTTTATTCATAATAACTATGTTGTTCTATCTCCAGCCTAAATGTTTCATCCATCACATGTAGACAGTTGTTACGATAGAACGAGCCAGTGTAAAGAATGATATGAATTCCACGAAATATATCATATATTAGACAGTGAAATCATGAAAAAATCTTCAATTTTAAGGCTAGGTCCATCATTGGGACAGTACTAATAACGAAGTAGACTATAATTCTACAGATCTACCTGGTTCTCCGTGGTGTGATCCGGTGAGATCCATGAAGCTTTGTGTACGCATATGTGACGGAATATTGTGCCGCCTAAAATCAATTTGTTGAATGCACAGTGGTTTGCGTATCCCTCTCAGTCCATATCCGGTGTTGTCGATTTCAACTTTGACGTTTAGGTCTCCCATCAGGATGGAGAGATCCTTTCTTGGGCACTTCACTGTGATTGATTGCAGCATCTTGTGGAACTGATCGTTATCATCTTCATTGCTATCATTTTTGGGTGCATAACGTTGGATAGCATTCATTGTAATCCCCTCATTTTTTGTGAAGGATGCTTTAATGATCCTGGGTCAATGAGCTTCCCATCCTATAAGCGCATTACGTGCTTCTTTGGACAGCATCAGAGCAACTCACCGAGTGTGTAGAGCATTCTCCCTTCGCGGCTAACGTTTGCTGTCCAGCTTGGGCCCTCTGGGTTTCGCTAATTCCGAGAACCACCAACTTTTATTTCCATAACTATTTGATTGGTCCTCCAGGTTTCCCACATTGTCCGGACGTTCGATGTATCTATATTAATTGTTGCTATGGTTATTAGAAGGGGTACCGACCTCGTGTTTTTCGAAGAATCTCAGCTTTTACCATGAAGCGTCATAATTCTTCTAAAAAGATTATTGAACTCCGAGGACAGAATTCAAATGGTTTAAATTGTTTTTTTCTGGTAAGCGCCTTTTAGCAAGTTTTTTTCTACGGGATAGAGTGGCTGATCCCACACCGAACTCTCCTTCTTTACTCGGTTTTGAATTTCGAAGTATTCTTAAAGTGCTACTTGCGTAGTTAGTTGCAAACTAATTGGAAAACAATTCTATGTTAACTATCCCTACAAAACAATTTTCCCATAACACTCGATTTATCGCATTATTTTTTCTCACACTGAGACCCACCAAACATACTGCCTGATAATGTGATAGCTGCTGCTGTTAAGAGACATGTACGGTCAAAGAAGTGCTACTGAGCTTTAATCAAACCATCCTGCAGTCAAGTCAATAAGTGTCAAGCAGTTCATTGATCTTCGTTGAGGTCACGGACAACTAACGCGCATAGGTAATTTGTTCGCCATGGACTGGAATATGCAGCAATGATCGAAATCTGTTCCTTGTACCATTCTTACTAACAAACTTCTGTTATAACGTCGTTTTGTGTTGCATGGTCATCAAAGCAGCCATCAGGCTTGCTTACGACGAAAGGGTAATCCACGTTAGGTACTAGACACAAGGTGTGACTTCGACGTTAGTTGGTTGGCCACACCATTCCCGTTCAACTGGAGTAGGCTCCCAGTAATTTGGTGCAGGTCAACCACGTTGGCGAACCACAAATCCTAAACCCTGAGACAAATTCAATCAACCGCGCGACAAAACGTACAGTTCAACAAACAACCAAGCTGACTAGGATTGGTACAGTTGGGTGGCTAGACTATCACCCACCGACACTGTCAAGTACATGGAGCCGTATCGAAACAACAGTACATTAATTGGTCTATACAAATTCATGGAGAAGATATTAGAAAAATTGCAATGCACACAGTGAATACGTATAACTACTAGCTCAGAGAAATTTAAATATTTTCATTTTACTTTGTTGAAGATATGAAAATTTTTCTAAGAGCGAAAATAGACGAAAATTTAATCTATCAACTTGTTCTTGTTCGTTGAGACAATATTGGATATCGGATATATCTGACTGAACTTTACGACTGCCGCGTTACCGGAATGGAATTAATGTAGTGAAGCAGTCAGTTTCATACATCGTGTACATGCAAGGAGATAAAGCTGTTCGAAATTGTAAAATGTCACTTGGGTTTACATATTTGTAGACGGAATATAAAGTAGCTATAATCTTAGACAATATAGTGGGTTGACTTAACGAATATTTAGTGAGTAACAATGGGCGGTGTGACTATGATTTATGGACGACCTTTTAGCAACGCTCGAGTGACCTTGGGAGTGTCCACTTAATAACTATGACTAAATGAGGGTTATAAACCAGTGTGCGGAGTTAAAATTATGATTTACAATTGATGATTAGGTTTATGAATTAGATTTAGGGTTTTCATAATGAACTGACCTCAGCTATGATCCAAAAGCTCTTTTTAACCAAATAGATGACTGAATTTCGCTCTAAAATTTGGGGCCTGCTATAAATTAAAGTCTTGCCGCGGTTAATAGGCTATTTAATCACTTCGCAATAGATTATTTAGACACCAAGATGAATTTCTCGGTGTTTCTACTTTGTTGATGTGAAATTACTTTCTTTGCGACATTGGTGTCATAAGCATAAGTCTCTAATGCCTGACTAACGGGAGATATTTGGTGTTGCCTTTCTTAAGAAAGGCAAACAATTGTTTGCAGACAACACAAAGGTTCGGGTGATATTAGATAGTAATGCTAGTTATCTTGGTCTCTAGGCTGATATAGATGAGTAACCCTGTTTTTACTAAAGGTATTTGGAGATCAGTCCCAAACAGGATGAAGCGCGCGTTTTGTGTTCCACGGTTAGCCACTGTCCAAGTCTGCTTATATTGCTTGTGACTGTATGGCAACAGTGGGTAGTTTGCGAATGAGGCACACTTGCCAAAGGAGATTGTTTAGTTGCAGTCCTTTTCATCAGTCGTAGGATCCAAACAACCAATACAAATGAATTAAAATTCGTCCCAGTGACTAACCGGACTTAGTAGCTTAACGGATAATGCAATAACAGGCGGCACTAGGTTCAAGTGATAGAAATAACATCAACTCTGTAATGCATGTATAACCAGCTAACGAGTCCTAAATAGGATGCATCGCTCGTCCTGAATTCCGTTGCCAGCCACCATTTAACTCTGATGATAACGTAAGTTACTTATCAACCAGATTTATAAAATAGGCTCTAAATTATACTGTTTATTTAAATGCTATTGATATTACCTGACTTCCCGAAAAAATAAGATGAACCAAGGTTCTTACCTGCGGTTTTATTATTTGAGAGTCAAGTAATCCAAACATATATCTGCTGCTCAAAGACTGATGGTGATACATTAATTCATGCATACGTAGACTGCTCCACAAGTTAGTACTAGGAATCATGCATTTAATTATCCTTTTTTACATATTCATATGTTAAATTCATTATATTTCGCTTCTATTGCGTTTCCTACCATCATCAACTGTGTTGACTTTGTTAACCAAACATGATTTGCTTTTTATTACAGGGTCTCTGTTTCCTTATCAATCATTGTCGTCAGTCGTTAAACCTTATATTAATTTAAATCGTGAATAGCACTTTTCTAAAACTTCATAATGACAGTCTTGGGTGAAGAGTGGTTTGCTGTTGGAGACATTTATTTCAGGTACTTGTTGATTTAATTTTTATTGTATTGTAGAAAGCTTCATCTTTACGATATGCCGTGGGGTATGGGATTTTCAATATCACAATTCAAGACATCGATTTGTCAGTATTCTGGTTATATCGGTAGGGATATTTTTACCAGTAGTTTAAGTTCACTTAGCAATGTATTTGGATGGCCAAGCGGGAGCAAAACCTATACTTCAAATATATACATCATCAGGCAAACTCGTTTCCCAAAGTGTTGTGAGTTGATTTGTTAGTTCGGAATTGAATGTGTAAATTTATCTTTTAATTAACATGACAATTAATACTCAGTGTCCCGCAATACTTTCTGTTTGAGATCTTATGGTTAGAAGAAAGTTATTCATACTGTAGCAAATCCAGAAGAAGATAATTTTACAATCCTAAATTTGTACACTAAGACCTAGGTATGGATTCAAAATAACTAGTCCCAGCTGAAAACATTGAAAAAAGAGCCCAGGACAGAGTTGTTTGGAGAATTCTGGTCAGCGGCCTATGCTCACGCGTCGGATAACAGGCGTAGGCAAGAAATGGGTTCATATTTTTTATCTGACCGTAGAGATGGCCGTGTTTTTAACTGCAGATGAGAGCGTTGAACAGTGTCTTTTGATTTGAAACCAAACAAATTACAACAATAGTTGTGTCGTGAAGTGCTCTGAAGTTCACCTGTTTGTAGAAGCCATTAAACATCAATTACAAGATGGAACATAACTATAATTGAAGAGATTACTTGAATATTACTCCTTATAGTGAAGCCCTTATGTAGACTGATCGTTTATTGTTTGACGTACTTGTGTCCATATTCTTAAACGTACAGAAGAGACATATATCGAGGTAAATTTTCCATTTTTTAAATAAATATTCACATCAAGTGTACTTATGAGGAAAAACTATCCGGACGAGTTTTATATTAATTTCCTAGCGTGGTTCAAACTAGCCTGTACACAATTACCAACTTTGACTGGCGGAAAGAGGCTAAAAGAAGTAAACTACGTACAAATTGTTCGCTAAAATAACTTGCTCAAAAAGCTATAATATTGGATTTTTGTTTAAAAAAAAGCTATATCCAATATATTATTTTCATATAGTTTTTAGATATTAGTTCGGAATTACTGACTAAATCGAGACATTGGTTAATGTGTAGATTTCAAGGTAAAAGTAGTCTGTTTGATGTGCTAGATTGCAAAGCCCCTTAACTAAAGTGTTTTAAGTTTCACTTCACGGGACCACTTAGTATGTTGACTTATGCATTCTGATTAAATACGATAACCCCATTCGGCTTTGTAAATTGGAGCTTTATTTCTTTTGTCTTCATCAGTACAAAAAGACACTTGGTAATTATCGATAGAACACTGAACTATTTTTGTGGAGTTTGGAATCTGCCCCTAATAGAGCTGAGTATATCCTTATGAAAGTCATGAACTAATGCATATCTGTTACAAGTCGTACATTTATTATAGCTAAATGAAATCCATGTTCACAATATGTAAGCGAATTTGTTGATTACCATTGTTTAGAACAATTTGAGAAACCCTTGTTGAGATGGTAGATCGGCAGGTAGTCATAATATGTCTGTCTTTCCGTGCCAAAATAATTCCCGGCCGTATCACAAGCTAGAGTAATTGAAAGTAGTTAAGTTGTTATATTTTTTGATGTTTGATTTTCTGGAAACAGTGATATAATTAAAAAGTTTTCATTGTTATCACATTTAATAGAAACTGACCCATTGTCACTTGTCCAACTTCTTATCTAGATTTACTTTTCGACATTGAATTCATTCCATAATATGAAAAAAATTAAACTTCCTCTTTTTCAGTGGAAAGATGCACCTGGTATATTGCTTGGTTGGACTTTGTCAGAGGATTTATTAGTTATCCAAAAAACAGGATTCACTACCATATTAGATCATCAGGGCAAGTTTGTTCGACGTTTTAGTATGGGACCTGAAGCTGAAGAAAGAGAAATAATTAGTGCTAAGCTTTTTACCATTGATTATGTAAGTCTTGCCGTATTGATACTATTAGTATGAATTAGTTATTGTTCTCATTTGAAATTTCCGAATCCAGATTTAATAGATGTGTCACGAACTTCTTAATTACTGAATTTTCTGTGAAACAGCGTAACTGTATTTAACAGAAACAATGTATAGTTAATAGGTTGACAGTTTCTGAATACAATTGTATTAGTGAGCTGTTTTTAGAAATTTCAAATGTCCTGCAGTAATTTCATACGTCAAATAGCTCAGTATTATATTATAGGGTATATTTACCGAATTGCTAGCTAGAGTTTTGAGAATCATAGACAGGATTTCCATCGCATTATAGCTTGATATAATCTTCAGTTTGCCATAAAACAGCATCAACGAATGTTATCAACCTCTGGCGAAGTTATAAAAGGTCAGCTTATTTTATAAATCCTTCCTAAACCAATCAACACTCAGGAATTCAGCTTGGTAATTTCAAAACAATAAACTATTGGACTGGATGCACTAAGTCGTTTCCACAAGGACTGCCTAATTTCTATGTAAATATGTCATAGCTATGTTAGCAGGGGTGACAATTTTTGAATCTCAACCCATTTTACCAGATATGCAACTGCTTTGTTTGATCAGAAATTTCTGAACATATAAAAAAGAATTGTGCATTGAAACACCACCGAAACAAGTTATGGAGGATTGTTTCCTCTTAACTTATCAGATCTCGAAAGAATCTTTGTGAGTACTGGTTTACTGAGAACGAAAATTATCAACATTCTAAAGCCTCTTACAACTAACATTGACCTCCTACAAAGAGTTCCTCTTTTTTATCCTCCCTTATTTAATTTAGACCAAAGCTAAAAAGTTAGTGTACCTCTAATTTTAACCAGTTTCTGAAACTTTTTATATGCTTCAAACGGTGTGCATAATGGACTTCTAAGGATGTGAAAATTATAGCCCAACCATCTATGAGCGCGAAATATTGCTAATTTTTGCCTGTTACTTTTTTGGCATGTCCAACGCTTTGTCTTTATTAAAGTCAAATGGTGCCTTCAAATTAGCTATTTGACTTTACCCTCGCTCACTATTTCATAGTCGTAATTAATAATAATTAATTCATGTTAATATATATATATATCGAACTTGCTGCTTTCAATATTAATGCAGGACATCTATTTTTTAGAATACAGGAATAGCTGTTCTTACCGGTGGAAACCACATATATATAACTACCAGTATCGAAACTCCACGTATGCGACGCCTTGTAGAATTACCTGGACCAGTAAAGTCTTTGTCACATTGGACTATTGTCACAACACCTCTTGAAACTGGAACACCTGATTCTTTTCGAAGCCCATGGGTGATGTTTTCAAACAAAAAGAATTTGTACCGAGCTGACTTTGGAACAGTTGAAGGTGTAAGTACTTCCAAGCTTTGAATTGTCTCAAACCTCACAGTGAATCAGAAAGGGAGCTATTAGTTGTGATGCGTAGGACTACAAAAATAGAAATTATTAAATTATTTTATTGCTCCCATGCACGATGCAGGATTTCAATGAGTACATATTTGTTTAAACATAGTGTGAACCTATGTTTCCTTCAAATTTATCGACCATCGTTTGATATTCATTACTTTCCTAAACCCTGTGTGTAATATTAGTCTTATCTGTTATTTCTGCACCAGTCAATATCAGTCACACTCAATAAAGCGACTATCATTACTACTTTACTCAGGAATCTGCTTGGTACTTGTTTCTTCTTGGAGTTTACTCTCATCAGAATGTCAACTTATTTTACAATAAATGCTCCTTTTCCTTATATTATAGATGTGAATATTAAACTTTGTGACTTTAGTTTACCGTCAATAACTTCGTCTAGCATGACTTCAAGATACTCATCGGTCTGTATTCTGGAATGCTATGCTTCTCAAGTGCACACTGTCCACTATTATTTAATAAAACTAAATTAGTTTCTCATTCACCAACCATTTTCCCCACTTTTGTTTTTTTATCACTTAACGTAATTTCTATCGATAAGTAAATTAAAATCAGTTTTATTTTTATCGAACTCCTAAATCATTTAAATATAAGTCCCCCTTATACGATAGAGATGGATTTTAGCAGCCTAAATAATTAGAATTTAATGTCGGTTGCTGACAAAATAGTATCTATTTAAAAAAACACTCAATTGTTTCCTACGTCAACTGTTGCTGCGTGTACCCACTAAACAGTTAGTTAATCATAATAAACGTAGAGCCTGGCACAAATATACAGTAATCTAAGACGCTCTATCACGTTGAGGCAACGAGATGAAGGCAACAAGATGAAGGCAACAAGACGAATTGTGAAAGGCATAATGAAGGATATTAATCGAAAGAAGACAAAAGGAGGAGTAATGATGAATGAATTATGGAGCTTAAGATCTAGAAAGTTAGAGGAAATTCATCTGCACCATTGTCATTGTTTCTAAGCGATGTCATTCAACATGCCCAGCAACTGATCGTAGTTGTTGTGCATAGCCCAGTCAGGCAGTCTGCATCTACCAGCATGGTTCAGATCAGTAACCAGTGTCCTCGTGAACTGATGCCAAGCCTTAGTTTGACCACCCCTACTTTTTTTCCAACTTACATCTACACCAGCTAATATCACTCGTCGAGGTAAGCCATGGCTAGACATGTGCAACACGTTCCAACCACCTCAGATTATGGGAATTCAACATACTAAACAATGTTTTATTCATGAGGTTTTCCTCAAATATATATATATTTTCTCTACTATCCAGATTGATTTGTCAAAGCTTACTAGGTCAACTGGTTCTGATATTTACCTATTGTCTATATCTTTGAATATGCAATTTGTTGCAATTTATTTAACCAATGGTGAATTGTTAATTACCAATACACGATTTACTGAATTACATTCACATATTGACTTGACCCAACGTATATCAGTTATGTTGGTGAATAATAATAATTCAGCTAATCAAAAATTCAATCATCCTAAAACGATGCTTTGGTTAACTAATTCAGCTGTTGTGCTTCAATGGAATAATTTAATTGCTATTATAAGTACACAGTCAGATATTTATGAAACATTTTATGCTGATGATATATTCTTAGCACAAGAGGTAAGTAATATATCTTATTTGTGTGTGTGGGCAATATGTGTTTCAATTGACGAGGCTATATTCAATCTTTATTGATTAGCATAGATGTTTTTAGTACTATTAACAACAATACGATTTTCAGTAATAGATTAATTAAACGTCTTAATATCTGCTCGGTACGTATTGATACTTCCGACAGTTGAATGAGTAATCTTAAGATTATTCATTTGTAGTGTTGATGAGTTTGGTCTCTCTTTATACAAACCAATTCATAAAGGTTAAATATCGTGAAATGATGAAAGGTATTTCAAGAATACATATCACATTTCTTGTTTTCTTTCTCAGTCTATTATTCATTACTTCATAACACTAGTAGTTAGTTATCTCATTGTTGATATTAGAGCCTAAATTGTGATCAGTCTTTATTGGTATATCCACCATATCCTGGCGGTCCATCCAGGCTATCTGAACTCAGTGAATAACCTGTTGGGTGATTAGAGCAACGGTTGTTGTGTAAACAGAAACACTAGAGTAAAAGTACATCCAGCTAACTAGCCCAAAATGGAATGAAAACTACTCCTTACCACAATTCGAAATATGGCTACTTTAGTTCTAGTCATAATTCTGCAATTTTCAAATAAAATTATTTTTTCATCCCATATTAGAATAGTATTCATGATAAAATTTATTACCAGTGACTGAAAAATAGTTTCATCTTTTACTAGATGTTTCATTATCCGAGGAAATGTGGTTAATTGTGTTGCATCGAAAACTAGATATCAAAGGAATGTTTATTTGGTGAAATGAATTAGTTATCAGTCCATTGTATCGTGAAGGAATCAGTTACTATATCACACATTGGTAAAGTATCCAACATTGGGATAAAAACGAAATCCTTTCCAATTCTCCGACTTCTATCAGCTCTTCTAGATGATAGTAATGTTTTATGAAAGCTGTTTTTTAAAAACAAAGTCCTCTCAATATCATTCAAACTAAATTTCGATTGATGTTGAAATATTCCAATTCTCATCATGTTTTTTTCTGTCTTATTTTTCTTTATTAACAAACGTACGCACATATTGTATCATTAGATTGATGGAATTCGCATTCTATCACCTACATCACACGAATTATTACAACGTGTACCATCCCCATTAGAATCACTTGGACGTATTGGAGCATCGTGTCCAGCCACGTGGTTATTGTCTGCAAGTAAGAGTTTAAAAATCAATTGTGGACGTACTAATGATTATTTGTTGCCTATTAAACAACCTAATCAAATGATTGATGCAATATCACACTGTATTGAAGCAGCATGTCATGCAACTGTTGATCCTATTTGTCAACAAGAACTACTTGAATCTGCTCATTTAGGTCGAGGATTATTATCAGCTATGATGAATACTACTCCTAATGCTACTATTTCTTCTACCACTGATACTAACAATAACAATACAGGTCATTATTCAATTCAGGCTAAACTGAAAGAACTGTGAGTTTGTTTGTTTTCTGCACATAACTACTCAGTTAAAGAATTTCTTTTAAGATAATTTAGTAGGTTGTACAAATACTGTATTTTAAAAAATATGATAGAATAACTTATCAGCGATTGTGGTCTTTTGAGCTTTATGGTTTAATCGTGAGGCTTTCATTGCCTTCCTCGACAATATTATCTAATTCAAAATGATGTAAGCTTTTGAAATTCCTTAACGACTAGCAGCTTGTTTTTAAAAAAAATTGAATATGATTAATTGCTCCTGATAATTGTGCTGATACAGTGCCTACATAAAATCATTTCGATAGTTTTTCCCTTTAGGTCTTATTGTTGATTCTGGTTTTGTTTATCATTTTCCGGATTGGTTGGTAAATTGAGTCCCATACTAGAATGAAATAGCCGTCCAATAATTCTGGGTTTCCAATGGTGGTTTAACATTGACCGGTTCATGATTTCAATAAAACTCAACAATCTCCACAACTCTATACTGAAATTGAGTTATCTTCAATACCACTAGTTTCTCACTCCTACTCCTTATTCTTACCTAAAAAATGTATCGGAGACTTTATAGAATGATTGCATAAATCCACTGAATATTTTAGTGTTACTGAAATTCCCCATGAAATTCAACAGTCGATCGTAGAAGAGTATTTGTTTTCTGTGATTTTAGCCTACTATAAAATCGCTGGAGAATAGTTTTAATAAATCTTGTTTCATTTTTTTTATTTGTTCTGCTTTGATGAGCTTGTTTGTGATCTTAAATATAAAGTTGTCGACATTTTGATTGGATTTCTTGGTGATGACTAATACATACTTTTATTCTTAAGCAATTCAACTTTATTAACGTAGTCGTCTTTGTAAATATCTATTGTGGTGTATCCTTTATCAACTGCAATCGTAACTATGTCCATTCTATTTCTGATATATTTTAGCGCTTTATACTCTTCTGTGGTTAGTTGACTGGCGTTTTCTTCCGTTTGGCCAGAGGTACCACCATCTTATTTCCACAAATCCTTATAGTTGATATCCAATGGTTGACTGCAGTACACAGAGGAATTCTAGTTTTGAAGATTTTTCTGTTTTGCATTTCAACTTTTAACGTAGATATTTTACTGAGGTTGTTTTGAGAAACGGATATCATAAGCGTATGTTTTTTCTTGTTGGTGGATTCAAGATTTTGATTAGATTGTCTTTGAAGGTGTATATTCTCTATTTTTTGTGTTATTTTACTTGATTTCTCAATCGCGATTGTCAAATTTTTAGAGTATTTAGGTTTCTATGTCCCCTCAAGCTTTTCCTTTTGCCCATGGTATTTAACAATCTTTTGATAGGTATGGATTATCATTAGTCGTACAATTTGATTTCCACCTTGTTGTTCGGTCATTCTGCTGAAGTGTAACATCGATTGTATGGCACGTAACACAGCCACTTTCGTTGGTACAGGTTCACAACGTCATAAACAGACTTACCATCATCAGTTATACTTGACACCTCATCGCAACATTTCGCACTTGGTTGCTCCATATCATTTAGTCAGTGGTAGAAAGACATATGATCAAATACATGACTTAAATCAATCTTTTCATTCTTAGTGGTCAAGTTCCAACCTAGAGTACCCCACCGAAAACTGTTGTGGATTATTTTTTCCTTCTGATTGGCGGTAAGATATATTCCCGACACTGTTAAAGCTGTAAGTTCGTAAATGACTTATTCTAATCTATTAAGTTATCCATGACTCATTCAATAGTTTTATTTTACTCCTAAGCCTTAACTGTGTCTAGCTAACGTGGTTCAACAGCATATTAATAATGTATTCCAATACTTTGAATTTGCTAGTTTTACATAAAAATTAAGTAGTTACTTTTCGGTTCCATTTGCATCATAATTTTATTGTTTCTTATAGCGCGGATCATGCTGCAAAGGTTTGTCAAACTTTGCGTTTGTTGAATAGCTTAGCTGTTCCATGGTTAGGTATTGCACTAACGTGGCGTCAGTTTCGTGAATTAGGACCAAACAAATTGTTTGAACGTTTATTGATACGCCGTCATTACCCAATGGCGATTGAACTTGTTCGAATCCATCAAAAACATAAATGGCCAATAAGCATTCTAGAAGAAAGTCAAAGCAATTATGGGACATGCACATTTACTCGTTTACTTGCTCATTGGGCATGCAATAGTTCTATAACATCTTCAGGAGCAGCTACATTGATATCAGAACGGGTAGCAGCTATTGTGGATAAGTTATTCAACAATTCATCAGAGAGCAAATCTAAGTCTAGTAATCATCATGCCAACTATTACAGTACCTCTATTCCTCATTTGGACTTCGCTGATGTAGCTAGTCAAGCTATTTCAGCTGGTCGAGAAACAGTTGCGGAACAAATATTAGAATATGAGCCACGCGCTTGGCGTCAGGTACCATTACTTTTAAAATTATCTCGTTATAATCGTGCATTAGTTCGAGCAGTAGAGACTGGAAATCCTGAACTAATTACGACAGTTGTGGTAGCATTGCAAGAGCAAAGTAAATTACCACCGGCAGATCTTGCAATGGTACTTCGTCGGCATCCAATAGCTCTGGCCATATATCAAGAGACATTAGAACAAGCTGATCATTCTAAATCTGGTTCTGAAAATTCAACAAAAGCTGCTCTTTTAAATTTTGATCATGAAAATGATCATGCTTCAGAAGCTAAAAAAATTGTTCTCTCAGCCTATCAAGAAAATGTAAGTTGTTCTCTTCTGTTATTTTCTACTTTTCACTCATTTTAAAATATTTGGTTTCCGTGAAGTTAAGTAATCCTTCTTCCAAGTCTCAAACTTCTATGTATGGTTGGAACCACTTAAGCTACTTCTGTTAGCCTTCATCACAGGCAATACAGACTGACTCCAAAGAGTGCCTTTATTCAGTGATCTAAGAAGAGTTTTTAGTTGCGTCTTGGTTATTTTGACGTACAGTAGGTTATCATTTCAGTTCATTAACACAAGTTGTATCCATTAGTGATATTCACTATCATCTTCACAACTTTATGATCAAAGCTGTTTTAAAAAACAATTCAATTATCGATGGTTGAGATTGCAACTAAGCTAATGAATTCCAGTCTATCAAACTTTGGATACACCAATTTCTACGTTTATTTTAATAAAGGTGTTTGAATACCCCTTGTAAGAGTGATAGTTTAGTAGTTTAAGCATTCATGTTCCAAGCAGTAGGTTGGAAACTTGTAATCCATTTAACATATTTTGATTTGGCCATTCGAGCAGTATTATCAGCTTTCACATTTAAAGTATGCTTCAAAAGTCATGTACTATTCTTAATAAGTCAGTCACATGTAACATTGCTTACTTACGCCTGTTACTCCCAATAAAGCATAGGCCGCCGACCAGCATTACTTTGATAAAATAAGAATGGTAGTAATAATAAGCATTATAATATAATTGGCACAGTTTGTATACTCTTAAATCTTATGATCAAATAATTGATTTTAATTAATTGTAGAGTTTAGCTTCACGATTGACATTATTACAAAATGCTGAAGAGATTTATCGTCAATCAAAGAATGATTTTATGGCTCAGGTAAGCATATGAGTTAAAAAGTTACTTGTATCTATGGTAAGAAGGTCAGTAGTGATAATGATAATAATACAGTGAAAAGCCAAATATAGAGAAAATACATGGAAAAGAACAAATGAAAACTCAAAATTTAGAGTAAAGTGAAAAATAAGTACAATTTTGGCTAACATTTATCACTCTAAGCAACAATGCAAGCATGTTCGGGATGCGATTCTCTCCCTCGAAATGCAAAATGTTGCTTCAGGATTGGGTTGCATTGACACCCGAACTAATGATAGGGAGTGAAGTAATTGAGCGTGTCGATCGCTTCACTTATCTTGGAAGTCTCATCAGCCCCTGTGGTCTGGTGTGTGTTGAAATCTCAGCACGGATACAGTAGGCTCGACTAGCTTTTACCAACTTGCATCATTTATGGCGTAGGCGAGATATTCGTCTATCAACCAAAGGACGTGTTTACTGCGCAGCAGTTCGTTCCGTCCTACTTTATGGCAGTGAAACATGGCCGGTAAGAGTAGAGGATATTCGTAGGTTACTAGTATTTGATCATAGGTGTCTTCGAAATATTGCTCGTATATTCTGGGACCATCGAGTAAGTAATGCAGTTGTTAGGAAACGGGTACTAGGTAAGGATGGCAAATCAATTGATGACGTAGTGAAACTTCATCAGTTGAGATGGCTGGGACACGTGTTACGTATGCCCAACGACCGACTGCCTCGACGTGCGATGTTCAGTGGTATAGGAGTAGGATGGAAGAAAGCTAGGGGCGGCCAAACCAAAACATGGCACAAGTCCATGAAGTCACTGACAAGTGGTCTGAGTCATGTCGGTAGGTGTAGACTACCTGGCTGGGGACCGCGAGATGATAGCAACCGATGGTTAGAGACCCTGAATGACATGGCTCAAAGTCGTTTGCAATGGCGCAGGTGCATCCACTCTTTGTGTTCTCCCGAATTTTGATCTGCTTATTCCTCCTTGTCTCTTTTTTTTTCTCTTCCGAAATTTATTTCACTGTATTATACTGTTTAATTAACATCTCCAAACCCTAATCTTCCCGATTACTGCTTATACTCTCATTACCTCTACCACTACGGGATTTGAATCGACCACTGCATCTCTGTGCTAATGTGGTGTGGCAACTCGAACTGATGTACATACGTACAAAGTTCTACGTTGTTACTGACTGACTGACTAACATTTATCACCATGAATTACAGTCATTAAATGAACCTCTCATCCAAGAAGTCTCCATGTTATCATCTTTCATGTGTTCATACTTGTTGAGAATAATAGATGTCATTTACGAAATATCATGATATTTCCATCCCTAACTACTCCATATATTTGCTTGAAGAGAGGTATTAGAGGAGTTATTTAAGTTTTACACCAATTTATATACATAGTAATATTAGCAAATATTGATTTGAAACATAAATAAGGCATTTACCATACAAAGATAAATAAATAACTTTCAAATATGTATGATAATACATGGTACTATTCCAGATAACTCGTGGAACTATTTCATGACAAGAAAACAGGAAATACTCTGGTAAAACATTTTGACAACAATAATTAGGATATAGTTTACGATATATAATAAGAGAAATATATATCTTCTGTTTATTTTTAAGTCAATAACTGGGAACTAACTGATGTGCTTGGTTTAGTGTAACTGCATAGTGTGTAGTGTAATACAACACCAACTTCTGGATATCATTAACATGACCTGTTCAAGTTTGTTTTCGAAATAATAGACTAGTCATCAGTATTATTGTTTATAAATTTAAAATATGCTTTCTACGCGTCAACATTCACCGTCTGTGTAGTACCATTCCGGATCCATTTAAATTCCATCCCATTAAGTTATTTATGTTCCCAATCTCAGTAAATTTACTGAAATATTAAATAGAGATTATAACTATTCGGATTTCATTTCTGCTTTCTTTGTGTCAGCAATGTAACGCACAAGTTCGTCTATTGAAATTTCAAAGTAAACTTGAGAAACAAGAAATATCTGCTCCTGTCTTCGAAATTAGATCCATACCCGGCTCTAATCGTATATTACCCGAGGTAGTACAGTCTGGTAGTATAAATGAGAAGCTCTGGGTTGGTCAGTCGTTAAACACAACACTCAGTCGTTTGTTAGCTTCTGGGCAATCCGAACGTCAAGCAGATCAATTACGCAGAGAATTCAGAGTTTCAGAAAAACGTTTCGCTTTTCTTCGTGTTGTTGGTATGGCAATCAATAATGCATCTTGGTTAGAAATGGATAAAATGATTCGAGCAAAAAAACCACCGGTTAATGTTGAGGTACCCAATAAAAGCCTTAATAATTGTTTTCTAATGATGATGCTTTGTTGCATTATAATCTTCATTATTTTGTTTCTCAGTGAAAGCACTCAAAAATATCCTAGTTGGGAGTTTTAAATATGCTAATATTCGCGTTTAGTTTTTTATTTTCTATTAGCACCATAAGATTAGACAAGATGATATTTCTTAATACTGAATAATCAATAAATTGTAATTATCTCAGCCCTGCATTAGATTAATGTGTGGATCGAATAGCTCAATCGTAAACTTTTAGGTCGTGAATTTTGGTGATATGGGTGTGAATCCCACAGGAAACACTAGTTCCTTCAAAATTGGAATTACACCTTGATACCGAGCGCCAACTAGAATGAAACATACATCCAGGGTTTTCTGCCGATTACATCAAACTACCGAATACCGGTTATTTTTTATTTATTTAAATGCTCATCGAATCAATTGTACATCACAGTTCTCTTTTCTAATTAACGTTTAGATCAATGTTAGTAAATTCTTAGTAAAAGATAACACCTGACAATACATCAGTATTTAGTTGAGATAGTTTTGTGGAGGTTAAACTCATTTGTTAGTTGGGTACCATTGGAAACTGGAGGGCATTTGACTCCTTAGCAATGTACACCCAAGAACCCGCTCGAGGTCGAAACCAGGACCTGCAGATCTCGCGGCAAACGCTTAAGCATTAGTACCACTGGGTACAATCTCATTTTCAATCAGTTCGCGATATAGCGCGACGATCGTCCAATACCATTAGCGATAACTATGTTACTTTCGACATGTTTGAACTGTACCATTCAAAACTTCACAGTAGAATTTGATTAATATATTGAAATCACCAGTAAGCTGACTATTACAGTTTGGTTGAGTGATTTTATGGGGATTAATTGTATTTGTAGATTGTATTCCTCACTCAAATATAATAAAATTGCCAGACAACAGGCTTGCTTTTTTAATATAGAATCAAGATATGGCATAATGAGAAATTTGAGTTTTTAACAAAAATATGGTAGTTATAGAGAGCACATTAAATGTTAGTTAAGCAAAAATGGTTAATAAAAGTTTCCACAGAATAAACTAGATCAATGCAAACTAAACACTATCAATTTTAATTTCCTAGACTAATGAATGAAATAAGTCACTTGACCAATTGGAATACACAAAAGTAGGGTTTCGCACTCCTAATTGAAATGGTCTGTTCAATCCTAAATCGGATTCTATATTTAACAGAAAGAAAAAGCAGCTTTTATTATTTATATCACATAATATGTCACATTAATTTTCAATTAAGTATTCGTATCTTCTACTTCATTCTTAGTTTGTTTGAAACGGTAAAAAGCAACAATTAGAGCAATGACTTGACGTGATCATCATTCAGTGACTTATGGGTTCCTATCTCCCCTGAATCTAACTATATTCGGTTCCACGCAGATATTCTATAACTACTGGCTACCGCATTGCAAAAATAATTGCTACTCAAAGCTTAATCAATAAGTTAATAGAAAGTTTTTTTCTAAAATTTTAAGCCATACTTCTTTAGTCGCAATAAATTCTTATTATTTTTATTATACAAAAAGATATTAATCAAAATTTGTATCGACGGCAATCGTATAGACGAAGCGATAAAACTAATTTCTAAACTTCCACCTGAACGAACAGTCCGTTTCTGGGTTATGACTGGGTAAGCAATTTTTTTTGTTAATCACAGTACTATAGAATCATTGATTCTAACCAATTATAGCTATGACAATATTAAAAATAATCAATAATTTTACGGGACTGAAAGATCTTCGTTGTCTATTTACATTGTTCTTAGTAGTGTATAAATAAGAGAGAACAAAAAGTAATTACAATAATAAAAGTGAAATACTGACTTTGTTCTCTAATTTATAAAATTTCATAGTTATCTACTAGAAGGGAAAAGTCCAATGCTGCTTGATTTTCAATGGTATCTCAAACAACATTAATCTGTAATAAATACAACCTACAAAATATATAGTAATCATGATTAAGTCTCGTAAAAATTCATTTCAACAATTTAAGATCTATGGAATTAAGTTTTTTTTTTTGAAAACAAAAACGTTCCGTTTTGTTTATTCATCTCATAACTTTTTATTTTACGTACAACTGTTCACATGTTATAGTCTATAGACTTCACATGAGTTCATGCACACAGTAAGAAAAAACAAACATACGCAGGTTAAAATATTGAAATAATACTCCAAATATCTCCTTGCACAAAACAATCAAAAGTAGGACTGAATATTCACAGCTTTAGCTGATTAATTTGCTTTCAGTGAATGGAATTGATGTATTGTTTTTTTTGGGGGGGTATATCTGGTAAGATACTTTATCTTAATGAAATCATTTTACTTCAATTACTTAAAAAGGAGAATCGAAGAAGCCATTCAAGTAGCGGTTCGTGAGAAATCAGAATATGATTTATTGTATATTCAGCGTGAAGTTGGAAAAACCAACAAAGAATTATATGATCGGATTACTAATCTACGAGCACAAATTCAGTGATGATTTATATTTTAACACATAAATAACTGAAATTTCTCTGAAACGATGTTAGTTTTATCTACGTTTTTTTCGAAAGAACAAACCTATCTATTTTTTATCCTTTATGATTTACGTCATCAGACTTGTAAATACCGACTTGTGATCGATTGATTTTTTCTATTGAACTTCTTTCTTCTATTGTACACACATTGACTGATTGTGCCATTTTTTTTGCTTAATGGTAAAACCTTTCATAATCCTTATCTAAACATTTGATTTTGTAAACAAAATACTACTGTTACAATAAAATTATTTCCAGTTATTATTTAGTTACACTTGTAGGAGGGGGGGCAATAGAGGTATTTATCTGGTTAATCGAAATAAGTCTTTTTCTTTTAATTGCGTAGATTGATTTCATCAGTATGAAACCAGTGACTAACAAGATTCGAATTGAAGTTGTTGAGTGAAGTGACATTTTCTTTCAATTAGCTCTACACTAATATATGGATTTTACAACTGAGAATAAAGTCAATTCATTGAAATCACAAGCCGATCAAAGATAATCAACCACTCAAAACCCGGAAGCATTGAATGGTCGTTTCATCTTATAATGGAACTTTTCAGCAGTACGTGTCCAAGACGAAAAACCGTGTCAGGTGTGAGGAAAATACTCTTCGAAAGCAATGGAAGATGGTCGCACTCTACGTAGACTGACTGAATTTAGAACTGCACATCACTGTATCCCAACTCAGCGTTCGCGCACGAGATTGAACGTTCTGGTTCGACCCTCGATTGTCGGGTTGTGAATGTTCACGGCTGAGGAGTCTCATACTGGAACGTAAAGATCGTTCGGTTCTTCCACGTTCTCAATGGTTGTTTAACTTCGGTCAATTAGTGACTACAATGAAATTCAACAATCTCTACAACCTTATGTTGACAATAAAATCAATACTAAATGAATGGTGATGCATCAGTTTATCAATGTATCTCAATATTTTCTCCTAAGATAGTAATCATATGGTAATTTCAAAGATTCAAAATAATATAATCGGTTAATCATAACAAATCATTACGTAAGAATAGAAATTGAGTGCGAAATTAAACAATGTTCAACGTTATTTGTAAATTTAATGATACATACTAAGTTAAATGTGTGCAAAGGGAATTAAGTAATCAGATTATTAAAATAAATTACCTATGGATAAAATTAGTAATTGAACTCGAGAAATTTTGAGAAACAGATTGCTAACTGATCACTATTTTAATAGAGTATATTGTTAAATTGATTCGTCACGGTTCACTTGGGACTGATTTCATTTTTAATTGTAAAAACTTGTATAGTAGTGAGGATTCATGACGAGAAATTATTTGTAAATAAATATTTCTTCGTTTAACCTGTACTTTTAACAAGATTCGATCTTTCATTCTAAGTGTTTCGTCTAAGTAAGATTGTCACACGGTAACAGCACGAATTTATTTAGGAGACGAATCATTACACGCCCGCCACGTACGGGCTCTTGAACCATCAACTGACCGTTAATGTTTATTGTAAAGAAAAAGCAGAATAGTTTGTAACAAAATAATTTATTTGAAATAAACTATATACAAAATTGTTTATGGAATACGTTCAAGCAGTAAAATAACTTCAGTATGCAGAGTTTGTGGGAAAAGATCGACAGCCTCAGCCATAGTTGGAACAAATGGTATTCCTGTGAATTTCTTGGAACAAGGTCTAGCAAAACTGAAATCATGAAAAGAAGCATGACATAAAATTTTTAAAATGTATGATTACACAATAATTAAAATTATTTTAATTTAAAAGCCTATAAATATCATTGCTTTCTGTACCTAAATTCCAGAAGTACAGATCCTTTCATATTTTACTCTTTTTGTCTTTTGTTTGAATTTCTGGGGGACTAAACAGTTGAAAAGTCAGTATCCAGAGCTTCAGTATTGTGTGTATCGATCTTAAACCAGCAATAAATACAAGTACTGATGTGGTTTATCTGTATCCGATAGTTAAATGATTCCATTTGTTTCTAGCTAGTTGAAACTTCTTGAGTTTCTCATTGTTAGTGTTAAAATCGCTCTTTCAAACAAACACATAACAATGGATAGAGTAGATGCTTTTTTCTTTTTTCAAATATAAAGTATTCTTAATGCACACAAACACAAAACTTACTTTAAAAAATTTTCTACAGCATATTCAATATTACAGGAAATATAGATAATTCTTTGAATTTGTTTACAATTTCTCAACAGTTGAATAACAGAATGATCTAAAATGAATAAGAAAAATGATAAGAGTAACGATTAAGATAGAGTTACTGTTGAGGTTCAAAAAGAATCCTTTGATAAGATCTTTAGGAACCGAATCATTACACACCCGCCACGTACGGGCTCTTGAAAATGGACAGATTGTGTCAAACTCTGTGTACCTAACATGTTATAGTTTTAGAAGTTTTCAGAGTTTAACAACTATCAGTAGACCCGTAAATTAAGCTCGATTTTCGTACAGAGACGGACTTTAAGCTTTTACCCATATTTTGTGTCTTTCATCTATTGTATGGGTTCAAGTGTGGTAGTATGGAGTTATAAGTGGCTAGGAATTCCGTAACAAGGATTCAAGCAGTAAACTCGTCAGTTATCAACCACAGTAAGCTGCTCTTTCAGTATAATTATGGTGACAGTGTATAATATGAGACAAATAGTGCGAAACAAAGCAATGGAATCGATTAGCCCTTGGCGAGTTTCTGTTCGGTAGGCGTTGTGCGCAAAAGATATGTTAATATTCGATGGAGATATAGTGCTACTAATGTTAATTTCTTGAGACACATGCTCAAGCTCAGTTGAAATCACCATTTAATTAAAAAAATCAACATAGAACACTGAATTTGATAGCTCGAACAATTTCGACGTATTTTATCCGGCGGGTATTATACCTTCTGACACTATAACCGGGTGCAATGTGTGATCAATTTTTGACAATTTTTCAAGCAGTCAGAAATTCATGTGTTTCTAGAAATCGTGCAACTTAGTGTGTTGCCATATACTCGAACTCGGCCTAACATGAACGCCAGATGCGATTGTAATCTAACTTTCTACTGTACTCTTCGTAAGATACCAAACATACTCGTGAAACGAGAGAAACATACACCGACTATGTTCTTAGAAATATATGCATTGGATTAAATTACTGATTAATTTTGATATTTCTTTTTAGCTAATTCTTCAAAAGATTTTCAGATTGCTTTGTGTAACGCATTTTCCTTTATATAATGAAAATACGTGTACCTAGTTACTAATAAAAACCATATTTTTCAACAACAAAAAAATCATATTAGCAGGACAAAAACAGGCTAATGAATTGTATCCAAACTGTTGGAGACTAATATATATCAGTTGATCATTAACAATTAAAACATGTTGACTTTTTAAAAGAACTGTGGGACAATACGTTTGGAGTTATTCATTGTTACTAGAAATGTTTCGTATTTTTTAAAAAAAGGCAAGATTACCTCTAAAGTTGTGATATTGTCATTCAGACTTAAAAATAATAATAAATGATCTTTAGTCAAGAAGCAGTAACTCGCTTAGCTTTATGATATTTAATTATCGTTGTCTGCACAGTATTGGACGCGTTCAATAGCAAAGTCATGGAATTAGCAATAATGCTCAGTGCTGTACCTCAAAACCTCCTAAACATAACGTGAATATCAGAGACTATCAGTTTTCTACATAACGTTTAGTGGTAATTAACAGTACTGTGTTTAAATAGGTTTGTTCATTACACGCCATCATTGACAAAGCAAAAAATTATTAATAACTTGGAATTAATTACTAAACTAAATAAGAAACCAACAACTTACGTAGACCAGCTCTTGGAGGATCAACTACAACTGACAAATCACAGCATTCTGGTAAACTGTCTATAGTATTTCGTAAGATATTCTCCGCTTTGCCGGCAAAAAATTCAACATTCTGGATATCTGTTAGCAAGAAAATAAATGTGTAGAATTATTTTTGATAGAGGGACGGGATTGTAACTTGAGATAGACAAAACAAACAGATTTAAATGTGAATTATGTTCAAAACTGATACACCTATGGGAATTTAAAAAATATTATTAACCATAACATATTTTCAGTAAAGGGTTTTGTGGAGATTTTAGAAATTTTAATGGTTGAAATCATGAGTCGACTGAAGCTAGACCACCATAGAAAACCTGGAAGCACTGGACGGTCGTTTCGTCCTAGTGTGGAACTCCTCAGCGGAGCTCATCCACGATCCCCCCGCGAGATTCGAACCCGGGACCTATCAGTCAAGAATGAAGGATTTCTAGTCAATTTAAAACAATCTACAGGACTTCAAGTGTTAACTGAAAAGTGGGTAACGTGATTTTGAGACACAGAAAATATCAGTTTCAGTAAGATTGGAGATTTGATTTACTGTGTTTTTTATCGTACAGACAATACACGTTAAGAGGTTAAATGAAGTTGTTTCATAGTTTGGATCACAGTTTGAACCTAGATAATCAATCAAATCGAGGAAGCACTGGACAGCTGCTTTATCTTAGTATGAGACTCTTAGCAGCGTCCATCCACAATTCTACTGGGATTAAACCCGAGACTTTCCGATCTCGCAGTGAGCACTTCAACTTTAGACCACTGGTTCGACATCCAAATTAATTTGCAGTATTGTGCAACGATCTTTCTGTCTTTAATGTACCACTGTCTTGCACTTCATAAGACTGAAAATTGTTCTACTAAACGTACAAGAACACCTTCAAGATATGACAGATTACACGTTAATACGAATGAGATTCGTTTCTTAATCATCGATATTTAATTTAGAGTCTTATTAAATAAGATAATTACTTCCCTATGAATGCGTTAGCTAAAGTCATTTTAACAAGAAATAACTCATCTTCAAAGACTCCGAAAAATATCGAAACAGATTTTATGAGTTAAACATGATAAGATATTGACAAAAGGGATAGTCAGTTTACTATATATCTTCAAAACTATTCAAGAATCAGACACCTTTGTCATAACTCATAACAATGTCAGTGGACATAAGAGGAGGTACTCCGTGCCGGATGTAAGGCAGTTACCCACCGAAGACAATAAAAGATGCTAGTGCAGTATCTTGGATTGAGGTTAGATATTAGCACTGTTAGGTGCCAGGTCAGTGGTCTAGAGGTTAAGCAGTTGAGCAGGAAACTGAAGGTTTTGGGTTAAAATCGTGGATGCGCACTTCTGAGGAGTCTCGTAATAGGACGAAACGGCACCCAGTGCTTCAGGTATTCGATGGTAGTCTAACATTGATCAGTTCATGATCTCAATCAAAACTCAACAATCTCCACAATTCTATACTGATAGTTGTTTTAATATTTTCTTAGTTATTTCACAATAATTGTCTCTTATCAATCTATATTTAGATGTTGAACTCGACTTAAATCAAGACCCCTCTCACATGTAAAGACTGTCCATCGTTTTGTTTTTAAGCAGTTGATAATATTGTTTCTAAATTGTAAGGATCTATAAAGAGAATCTATGAAATAAATAGATAAATGCATGAATTACATTGCTACGTGTGGTATTGTCATTTTACTGAAAATTTTCGCACCAAATGTTAAATTTAATGAAGCTGTTCAAAAGATAATTGTGAAGAATAATCTGCATTGTTATCCATTTTAATACATTTTTTTTCTGAAAGTTTTTATTCAATTAATTGTGTGACAAAGTAATATAATTATCCACACACGAGAGATTCATGCCTAATCTAATTGAATTAAAACAACAGATTATTTGTTCGGCAGAAATATTTCCAGGACAGTTGTTAGACAGTAAATAAATAATCAATGTATGAACTAACTCACAGAAGGACTCGTAACCATTTTGAAAGTAACAAATTTGATGCACGAGTACAAGTGAATTTGTTGAGTTCTTGAATAGTGAACGGATCTTAGTTAGACCACAATCGGAAAATTAGAAGTACGGGTCTCCCTGGGAGTGTGCACTTATGACCCCTCCAACTGGGAACGAAATACATTGAGTCTCATGCGTGAACGCTTAATCTCTGGACCACTGAGCTGGTATCGAATGATACACATGTTTGACATCAGTCAGTTTACAGAATTGAGCAACCCAAATCGATTGCTTGGGTTTGGTAATTGTCTCACATTCGACATGGTCGTGACCAGTGGATTTCAACCATATAGGTTGTGAGACAGTTATCCATCACAAAAGTGATATATATAAACTTTTTAAAAAATCTAATCATACATTTAAAAAACAGTACCATTCAATTCTGCGTTTGATTTAGCATCTTCAATTGCACTGTTACACATATCAATACCAATTACACGATCGAAATGCTGAAAATATTATGAAAACATGAGTGGTAAATTATTGAATAAGTCGCTAATAAATGCGCTCAAGAAATATGTGTCATATTACAGTGTTAGGGAAGCGTGATGCAGTAATTTTATTGGAACAAAATGATATCATTTTAATCTTTAAGTTTCGTTCTAAATTATTGATTCTTCAATCACAACTGTTAATTCGGAATTATATTTCTAATGTTTAGCTTTCTGATGCAATAGGTTTTTATGTTTCCCGTCTTGTATTTCATGCCCTGTTAATTTCATTTCCTATTTTGCTGATGGAGGATATGGAAATCTCGACTGATATCTATTAGCTGTGAGTAATTATTTCAATAAATATTGATATATTCGTGCACTATGTTAATAATTTGCAACACTGACATCAATACCGTGAACAAAACTACTTTTCTCCTCTTGCTTTCCATGTCGTATGAACCAGAGTAAAAACAACAGTTTTACAGATGAAGTTTTTTTGATGTGCTGATTCAGACTGCACATCTCCAACATACAATCAAACTGTGAATATGTTTACAAGTATCACTTATTTAGAACGGTAAAAAAATTGTTAAATGCCTATCGCAAATTTACATAACATGGAACCACTTGCCTATTTAATTATTTCACTACAAATTCTGTTAGGATTATAAACTGAATGAACAACACAATACAACTGCTGTCAGTAATGAATAGGCATTTCATATAGACACAAAAACAGTACAACAGAAATAATAAAACTTGAGTTCACCTTTGAAAGACATAAAGCTATTGTTCCAGTACCACAACATACATCAAGCAGTATTCGTTTCTTCTCATTAAGATTTTCATTATTACATGTAATCTCATTTTTTGAAGGTAAATTACATAGACATGATATTCTTTCAAATAATAATTCAGCAGCAAGTGTATTTACTGAAATTCACGGAGGACGGAAGAGAAAAAGTTTTTTTTTCAGCAACTATGCAAGCATAAATTACAAAAAATAAACATATATTTGTAATGGCTTTTTTCGGAAAATTCTCGTCGCCAATTGTTATGACTTTTGCCCCTGTCAATTATCACATGACAAAATCGCCAATCCGAATACCGACTTATATGACCTTGTTCTTGTGCTAATTCAACGACAGGTCAAACAGCACTAGCAGCCTTGAGTCAACTCTGAATTCTTATTGGTCTTTCCAACCCAGCCCTACCTGTTGAGTTCAGAATAGAACCTCGACTTCCATTGTATGAATTATATATTTCAGACATACTTGGTTTACATACAAGCAGACTAGACCACATCACACCATAGAATAAAAATTATTATTATACAAGATTAAGCCAGGAGCAGTTGTGAGTACAGGAAACTGTGGCTAATAAATTGGGAATAAGTTATGAATGGTAAATCGTATAATAGTAATCAATGGGTCAAATGGAAGCTTATAATAAAAGGAATATGGATATACAGACAATATAGCTACTTGACAGTTATCCAAAAGTAATTTATGCAATAATAGTCCATGAATAATTCTTAGCAGTTACCATTCACGTATTCTTCATTCGGATATAATAACATTAATCATAAAGATAAGTAAATTGATAGATCAATTATTATCGACGTAAGACTTATTGATATGTGAACACTATATACAAAGAAATAGTGATTGACCAATAATCTATTTTATACCTCTTGATTGGCATTGTTGTGAAACGAATACTAATTTAAGGACTCTTTGATATATTACACATAAGATTTATCATTATTTTTAAAGAAAAGAAAACAAACCAAACACAGTTCTATCATCTAACAATTGACTAACACATGAATTAGTTTAAGTAAAATCTATGCGATACGGAATAATGTGTCCATTAACAAAAAAGAGATTAATCATATTCCATATTTGTTTTATTTCATTCAGAAAGGGGTTTTATGGAAATTTTATTATTTCATTTAGTTTAAAATATCAACGTGAAATATGTACACAATTCAAATGAATATTTTCTGTATAATGAACTAGCAGTGTTGAAAAATTGTAGTGTTTAGTCAATTGCTACTCGAAAGTTTTCGAAAGTACACAAAAATATAAATTCAGATGTATTTTTTTATTTAAACACACAAATATTAGTACAAGGAGGTAACAAACAGATATGCGCCACATAAATCATTCGATTTGTGTGAGGGCTGGGATACTGACCGGGTGCCGAAACCGAAGCAGGTAGTTTCCTTAGGATGCCACACCCGGAACCTTCGAATTAATAGTCTGATCCACAAGGCAGTGGAGCGTCGTAAGGAGATGCAGTCCCATGGTAGCCGGTGACCAACGATTGGTTCATAGGCCATTTGTTCTCTCAGGATACTGGAGCCCATGTGCACCATTGGTTTGGGATCCTGTTAAAGCGCCGGACATTCGGTTTTCGTCCTCTCTATTTCGTAAACAGCACCCCCGCCACGAGAAGGCAGTGAGTATGACTTTCCTGGCAGAGGCTACATACGCGTGGCCATGTGAGAGCATTTCGAGGGGGAGAGAGGACTCTTCCCACTCCTGGCCGTACCAGGGCATTCATAATAATAAGTTTGTTATTTGTCAAGCACAGGTTTATTGTTAGCTAGCTAATCCTGTTACCGAGTATATTTTTATGTACTCAACATTGAACCATATATTTTTTGGTAATTTGTAGCGATACTACTCAAACCAAATGACGTCAGATCCAAACTTGTGACTTTAAATATTGTTAACAGTTGAGTACTTTAACCACTAAGCCGATGTAAACCATTCAATGAGTTGTTTGAAATTATGTAGACAAATATTATGGGTTGAACATTGTTAGGTTTTTAATCAATATGTTTAGAAAAGCATCAGGATTTTCTTGAGGAATGCAAGTTCTTCGTCAATGCATCTAGTAATAAACATCAGGTATCAAGATTTTGTTTACTGCACAGTTATACTGTAAAGATTGTATAACAACCAAGCTTATTATGCATTAAAAGAGTTCTTGTATCATAATCTCAATATATTGTGATATAAGTATATTAAAAAATAATTTCCCATAGCATATGTATGTAAATAACAACATACCTTGGAAGAATGCAGAAATAGATATATGAAAGTTTAATCCACAACATTGTTCAATAATATACTGAAAGATGAAAACACGTAGTAAGATTTCAATACAGGAAATTATGTTTTCAATGGATGAATAGAGTTTCCATTTGGTGAACTAGTGGCCAATTTAATTCCGAATGACTATTCATCTCAATAAATGCAAACTGCGAGTGAACTGATGCAAATAGAGTAGAAAATAATTTTACATTTTAGGGAATCATAGACGGCCAGATCCGTTTGTGCAGTTCTATGGGATTTATAAACTTACAAAATGTATCAAACGATATTTAACCTAAACACTACTGTGCTGCTAGTCAAGAATATAGAAAATTTAGCTGATTAAAAAAGTTTGAGTTTTTATGACAGATACTCCACTATCAAGATGAATATTGTAGAGAATTTATTAAAATATGACTAAAATCATAGTCACTCTATGAACTATCAAATAATGCCAAGAGATGAAATCTAACTTATTTTTTAAAAAAATCATAAAATCACTAAAGAATTCAAACAGAAGAACTTTGAAACGGAGTTTCGTGCTAGTTGAGGCTCATCAGTATGGGTCCAGTATTTCTTACTAACTATGATCTAGTCGACAAAATTCGATCAGCAGTAAGGACTAAACAAATATGAAATTGGTCACTAATCCATGATTACACAGTGTACTTATAGACCGGTAACCTCAAACTAATGATGGTGTAATGAATAATATGAAAGAAAAAAATCTGACTTACAGGTTTACCAAAAACTTGACGAAGATCTTCACCAGATTGTTTTATACCTGACCTAAAATAGAGTAAGTTCAATCAATTATTATCACTATGTAAATATTCAATTTTATTATTAAAATAATAACAAGTATTTATGATTATTGGGTAGGAAAGATAAGAGATTTAATTAATTCTCAGTCAAAATTGTTTAGTTTCATGTATTCTTCTTAATATTGGATTAAAACATTGAAAAATGTGTATTGAGTTAACTTACCGATAGGCATATCGTAAACAAATGTGACTGTAAAAACGAATACTAAAATGCCTACCTACCTTGAAGACACAGATAGATATAGGTTAGTTAAACCTGAATCTGAGCCTGGACCAGTTTGGAACCATGTTCGTAACTCGTTCAACAAATTATTTATATCCTCCTAAAGTAAGAAAAAACTATTTTAAGAATATATGGAGACTATATTTACAGAAAATCATGGTAATAAATAGACGGAAAGTGAATTTTTGTGCCTGAAATTATTACCAAACCTAGTGTGCTTCTAGACGTAAGTTGCTTATTAGAAACATTCCTATCTTACAATTAATACTGACATAGTTATATTCTAAAACCAAGTTTTGAACGATTCAGTTATTAATATCAGATGAGTTTTTGTGTAGATTGTAGTAATTTCAATGGGTAAGATCATGAGTCAGTTGAAGCTAGACCACCATGGAAAACCTGGAAGCACTGGACGGCCGTTTCATCCCATTGCTGGACTCCTCAGCAGTGCGCATCCACGACCTCGCCCCCTGCGAGATTCGAACCCAGGACCTACTGGTTTCGCACCCGAGCACTTAACCACTAGACCACTGAGCCGATATCCAACGGTATTAATGTCTAACTTCAACTAATCCACGAAATTGAGCGACACATCCATCATTGTCTTCAGTGAGTTGAAGTTAGACATTAACACCGTTGGATGCCGGCTCAGTGGTCTAGTGGTTAAGTGCTCGGGTGCGAAACCAGTAGGTCCTGGGCTCGAATCTCGCAGGGGGCGAGGTCGTGGATGCGCACTGCTGAGGAGTCCAGCAATGGGATGAAACGGCCGTCCAGTGCTTCCAGGTTTTCCATGGTGGTCTGGCTTCAACTGACTCATGATCTTACCCATTGAGATTCAGTGATTCATATTGATGATGACGACAACAAGATACAATGAGTTACATTTACAGAATCATAAATCAGCAAAAACTGATGAAATATAAACAAGCAAGTGCTATATATATTCGTGTTTACCTAAGACAAGTTGTCGAATGATATTGATTTTCTTGATTTCTTCAAGGTTTTTAGGGTTATTAAAACCGGTTTCTCTACATAAGCAGTCATATATCATCTTCGGGGTACCAGAACTATTTACTTGCACATCGAAGTTTGATCGTATACACTTAACGGGTATATTTTATGTAATCTATCGACGTATCGACAAGTCATCTTAGGATAAAAACAACTCATTAAAATATTTAGTTGTGGATATTTAACATGAAATATAGAAATCCACAATCCCCTGATGACTACCTTCAACAACCTAGCATCGAAACACAGAAAATACAATGTCAATTCATCTACACTAATAGTCAAATTGCAACATGATCAAGAAAATTCAATGAGCCCTAAAGAGCTAGACAAATATGATGAATTATTTCTAAGTGTTCAGTAAATTGTGCACTATTATCAGTAAGGGGTTGTGGAGATTGTTGAATTTCATTGAATTCACGAACTGACCAGTGTTGGACCACCAATGAGAACATGAAGCACTATATGAATGTTTTGTCCCAGTATGGAACTCCTCAGTAGTGAATATCCACGATCCTTTACGCGGTATTCGAACCCAGAACCTTCGGTTTCGCGTGCGAACGCCTAAACTGAGGATCACTGAGTCCACATCCGACGGTGTTAATGTCGGACTTTGATCAATCTACGATATTGAGCGACCATCCTCAAATGTCTTCAGTGGGTAACTGCCTAATACTCGAGACGGGTTAGCTCCACTAAACATTATTAACTGTTAAGTATTGTCAATGTTAAAACATAAACACTAGGAAATTCAATATGTATGATGCTTCATGAATTTGGTAACTTATTTTTTTTTACAATAGGAGTAAAAGGTAACAAGATAGATTGATGAGTTCAAGTATGCGAAGTGAAAAAGCAATCAGTAAGTGATCTAGTGCCATTTAAACTTTATTACCTCAGTAAAGCCATATGCGTTAATGTATAAAACGACTAATGTATCTCCAGACCTTGATTCACGAATGAGTACATGGCGCCAGTTCCCATTATACGTGATAGGATCAAAAGCATTAAGCGAAGGTAATTCTTTAAATTCTCTTTTAGAACAGGCAGTTACGAACTTTTGTAAAGCATCTATGACTTTAGTAGAGTTTCTCGGCATAAAGTTCCAACTTTTAAACGAACCAACGGCAACTGAACCTCCCTTGTACTTGGAATAGCGAAAACCAATAACTGGACCTTAAAGAATAAAATGAACGTGTGTGTAAATGATAACATTGATAGTTCATAACTTCAATCTATTTATTTGTAAGGGTTTGTTTTTTGTTGATCTCAAGGGTTTTAATTGATGTCACTTTTAATATAAGTTAATACTGGACAGATTTCTACTATATTATCATTTTATTACAAGTTCTAGCATGGTTTGATAGCGGCTAGAAGTGGAATTAGGAGTATGTGTATCAACCTATTGAGGACTCATCAATTGGATGTCCCTGGACTTCAGTGTTGATATTTACATCAAGACTAGGATCCGATATCTTTTGCTCCAAAAGTTAATGAGTTAAAGACTACTCGATTTCAACCCTTAATATCAACAATAGAAAACATGAACCCTTAAAAATCAATTTTAAAATCCTTGAATAAGTTAGTGTCTATCTGAACTTATAAGCTTAATAAATAATGGGTTGGTGTTTGAAGTGATAGCGTGGTCACGAGTATTAAAGAAAAGTTGACTTTTCCAACATTATATATATATATATATATATATATATATATATATATATATATATATATATATATCCCCTTTAATTGAGTAAGTTATAACATAAAGCCTGCATCATTCAATTAAGAAGAAACGCTGTTAAAATCCTCACTACCTCATATATTAGACCGTCTTTCACAGATGATAACGGTTGCTGGAAAAAAACAGGATGGTGAAGGTCGACTAACATGATAGTGAAGTATAATTAGAGAGGGTAGACTATCATGTTTATCCATCAGTGACCACGGGTCCATCAGAGTTATCACAATAATAATATTAGTAAAAAGTAATGAGTGAAGTTCAATAAGTATTGATGATAGAAAAACATAATTGGATCCTCATTCAGTGAGTGATGAGGGAAAAAGCACACAGAAATTACTATATGATCAACGATGAATGTCAATACAGAAGTATTCCCATATACTAGAAATATCATTTAAGAGGCTTCTACATAGCTCACTATTACTCTACGCTACGGACGGGTGAAAAGATCAGAGAGGTGGGAATTCTATTACATAGTGCAAAGGTATGACAGTAAATTACATAAGATTGACACATATTAGTGTATCAAGACTCCTGAATTTGGGTCCTAGAAATGATACAACTCAGTGGTTTGAAATGTTATCAAACGTCGGTCAGAACAGAGGCTTGTGGGAATCCCTGCAATTTTCTCTGTAAAATTAAGAGGAACTCCTTTAACTGGAAGAAGCCTTTCATGGCTGCAATTTTAACAGAACTGTATCTCATAAAACATATTATTTACTTGTTTACTTTGCAATTATACTCCCTTTAACCGTCTTTTATTTATTAAACTACTATCTCTGTATTTGTGTAGCGCATAATTTTTTAAGTGACCAGTTACACAAAAATTTATGTATATTAAATAAAAATATTTTCATAACGAAAAGAATTTACTTGGAATGAAAATAAACATTTAACTAACCTGATCCATCCACATCGTAGCCAATAGTAAGTTCAGATTTATTTCGATATTCAGTTTGAATAGGCTAGTGTAATAAGGTTTGTGCAATAATAAAAACCAAATTTTACCATATGAAAAGTATTTTTTAAGGAAAAATATTATAACATCACTTGTACTATTTAAATATTTGGCGGATATATACGAAGGAATTGATCAAAAATGAGTAAACTGGATTGTTTATTTCACACTGTTCTGTTCAATTAAAAAAAGGTAGATTGTAAGTTTTAGTAAATATTAGGGTGATAAGTCTTGTTAATTTGAACGCTATATTCGTTTCCTAAGCTATTCTGTAACCCCCAAGATAGAACTATACAGCGACCTGAACAACGAAAGAGAATACGCAAAGTTTGCGAGAAGTACTTTACTCCAAGGTTCATTTTTGTACAGAAAAACACGGGTATTTATAGATGTTAACATCTGGTAAATCAACATCGTATTTTGGCCAATCAGCTAAAGGACATATTATGTTACTGACCAATAGTAGCACTCAACGTTGACATTCTAGAAAGCTCCATCATGCTCTGATTGGCTAAGACTCTTCGGCTCCTTTAGGGCCTCTGAAGGCTCCGTTGCAGTTCTCGGAAAGCCGACCAAACATAGAGAAATAATATTCCTAATGATTAAATTAAATCTATTGCCAATAAATTATGTGAAACGTTTGTCTGTTTTTTTTTTAAAAGATGGATTATGTTAAGTAGTAGAATTTAAGACGCGTATTTGATTCCAATTAGGACTGATTAACTGAATGTTCCTGAATTTCAGTGCTGTTATTTGAATTTACGCTCAAATTTAGTATTTCTTGCTTCAAACGCTAATGCATTATTCATAAAGTTTCTGAGCCATTAACTTACACAACAGGTTTAATGTTTATATCATTATTGGTATCATAGTACAACTAATCTGTTTCACTTATACTGTATAACAAAAAATTATGACACAGATGACAAATAAGTAGCCCATATAATTATTTTTAAAAAGGCAAAATGAAATATATTCCCGACTTTCAGAGATTATTAAAGGTTAAAATCATAAATTATTGACAAACACTTATTAATCTCCTTAGCAAGTTAGAGTACAATAAATAGGTTTAATCAAAATACTGACAAAGAACTAACAGAAGAGAAACACATAACTTACAGATGGAACTATAGGAGCAAGTTTACATATAGTTGTTTGACCTTTTGAATCGGATTCTTCTCTAATAACAAATAATATCAAGAAAATAGATAAAGTAAAGATAACTACACTTGATATTAAAATTAAAACACGAATTTCAGCGAAGGGATCTCTTTTCAACGAATTTATTATCAAGCTGTACAATCGTATATATATGAAAATTTTGTTTTTGTAAAAGTACTAATTCCGTGAGGAAATATGAACACTTGATATCATTATGATATGGACAACGATTACACAATGAATTGAAAGAAAATTTGATTTTTGCTTACTCTATCATCATCAGACATACACATACATCTTTAGTCATGAATAAAATGATGAACATTTGACTGAAATATTTATTAGTTTCACAAGAAAAACTGATACAGATGTACGACTAACATGTTTATAGTGATCCAGATGAATTTAAGATTAATCCTGAATTTAAATATCACTTTGTCGATGTCATTAATTCCATTTCATTTTTATAATTCTTACAACCATTGATGATGGTATCCAACTCTTTAATTTGTCTTATCACGTCAATTTTTATCCAATATGCAATTTCAGTCCACAGTGACTATTATTATATTTGATAGGATATATGTAGTTGGTTATTATTAGAACAATGGTGCATAGTGAAGCGAAATGGTTGCGTGACAGAGTCATTTAAATTAGATGATAAAACGTTGTTTTGGAATAATTCGATTACTAATACCATTTCATACGGTGGATATAGTTAGCGAGCAGCGTTAAAACAAGGTGAAACGGCTTTTAGAAGAGATATGGATAGAGGAGTCGGAAATTTTGTCCAGTTTTGAAGGGTCAACTTAGAAAATAAAAACATCAATCGACAGAGTTCTATAGTTAGTAAGCTGACGACTGATGGTGTACATATACGCATACATATCATTAATAAACATTTGAACTTACACAAATTTCACACTGTCAACATTTCCGATTTCTGGATTAATCAACAACAATCTCCTTCTTGTTTCAGCTAAATATTTTAAAACTAGATTTCGTTTCTCAATCAATTGATCTGGATCGTAATTCAAACGCCATAATGGAAGAATGGAGTCACGAAGTCTGTGAAGTGAAAAATAATAAAGAACTATTCATTTATTCCGTTATTTAAAGAATTTTAAAAAAGGTTGAACGAAAATTCGTCAGAAACAGAACTTTTTTCTTTAATGAAGCCATTGGCTTTTGGATTTTAAAATTGAAACTCATAACATAGAAAACCTAATGATAAGGTTCGGATTATTTTGAAGTAAAAACAAATTACAGACAAAGTTAATATTCTACTTCAAAATTTATTCAGAATTAAAGTTGAATCAATGGACTGAGAGAATTATCTAGTATGTTATGACAACTCGTTTATCTGAATATTATGTATATATTCATTTTATAATGTTAGTAGTAACCTTAAGCAAAGAGATTAATAAACTAGATTCTGAAATATCACAAATAAAAATATCTGAAAGATTAGCTAATCATTAAATGAAGAATTTAAGACACGGTCGATACTTTGATCTGTTTTCTGAGCCGCGTGGCTTCATTGAGAAGCTTTGAAAGTCGTTATGAACAGCATGATTAGCATTTACTGTAGCATGAAGTAATCGGTTTATCTAAAATGATATTTAATTATTAAAACACTGATTATAATAAATGAGATACTGTAGATAGTTAATAGTTAATTCATACCCTAGAATATGGAAACGACGACTCAAACGATCCAAACAAGCTCATAAGATGTATTTGCAAGCTGTATTTAGTTAAAGGCATTAAAAATAAAACTTGATATAACAAGAAATTTTTATTTTAAGAAGTTTGGGAAAACATTCAATACATCAAAGAACATAACACAAAGTAACAAGAAGAAAATATATTTGAACATTCAGAAATAAAGGATATCGGAAAAAATATTTGTTTACAACAAATTCGTAAGCTGCAAATTACAATTAACAAACTATTAAGGTACATAGATACACATTCTGATTGGATCAATAAGTGTTACAAATTGTAACTAATGGATTTCACGTCGACTGAGTCTTAAATACGAATAATAAATACTAATTTATAAGTGTAAAAGCCCAAACAAAGATATATTGAAAACAATTATTCACTCTGATATTTTATTATTTTAAAACATTCCGTAAGGATTCGCAAATTGTTGAGATGCACAGTGGAATATAAATGAAATGATGATGTACTAAGATTTGATACTGTTAATATAAAAAATGGTAGATACTTACTTACTTACACCTGTTACCTCTCGTGGAGGAGCATAGACTGCTCACCAGCATTCTTTATTCAACTGTCCTGGGCAATCCTCTCCAGTTGTTTTCAGTTGATATTCATCCTTTTTATGTCTGCTTCCAATTCCCGACGCAGTGTGTTCTTTGGCCCTCCTCTTTTAAGTTTCCCTTCAGGATTCCAAGTTAGCACTTGCCTCGTGATGCAATCTGATGATTTCCTCAATGTATATCCTATCCACTTCTCACGTCTTTTCCTAAGTTCCTCTTCAGATGGAAGCTGGTTTGTTCACTCCCACAGTAGGAGTTTGCTCATGGTATCCGACCAGCGGACGTTAAGTACCTTGCGTAGACGACTGTTTAGAAATACTTGTACCTTTTTGATGATGGTTATAGTAGTTCTCGAAGTTTCAGCTCCGTACAGTAGGACTGTCTTGACGTTCATATTGAAGATTCTGATTTTAATATTGATTGGTAGTTGTTTCGAGTTCTATATGTTCTTCAACTGTAGGGATGCTATCTAGGTACGTGCTTCCCCTGAGATGTGGCCTTTAAAATCCAGTTAACCACCAGAAGAGGAAGGGAGTGAGTAAGCAGCCTTGTCTGACACCAGTCCTCACTTGGAATACATTTGTCAGCTGTAGCCCATGCAGAACTTTTAAAAGATGGTAGGTAGTACGCTAATTTTCTAGAAATATTCTGAATGCTAGCAGCAAACCATTTTGTTTATCATGGTATGTGTATGTGTGTTCAATTCATTTCATGATCAACAATCATAGGGAGAATTTTTGTTAGAAAAGAAACTAATCAGTAAACTTTTTAACTGCTAAAAGACATACGTTTCGTGAGCTTTCTCCAAGTCAACTGATTCACTTAACCAATCTATATGTTGTTCTTTTGATAAGAGTTCAGATTTTATTTCACTTTCCGCTCGCCTTTTCATTAATGGATCAGCATGAGGACGAGCAATCTTAACATATCCAGGAAGATAAAAAATAAGACATTTAACATCAAGCAATAGAATTAAGAAAACTTATTATTATTAATATTATTATAATATCCGTTATACTAGCCTGAAGGTTATCACAATGAAACAAGATGAACAAACTTTTAATTATGATTACTGACAAGGTATTCTATAAAATTCTCAAAATTTATTACTGCTAAAATGATCACGAGATTGCTCGATTCTTGTTATTAATGTTAAAGTTTTACCAGTAACGGTAACCTCAAGTATTCTATCGTTTTACCGTGATCCAACTTTTTGGATCATCTCTGGGCTTTTCTGATTGGCTGCCACAACTTTTAGTTTGCTAATTTTATGTATATTTGAAGGTCGTACTTCCGTGACCATATGTGTTGAGTTGGATAACTTCAGATTGCTCTGCTTGAATAGCAAGTTATTCCTACACTTAGTCTTCTTCCTGTGTTAGCAGACAATTGTTGAAGTACTGTGTGCCAAATGTAGTCGTCGAGTTTATAATAAAATCGTTTGTACTAAAACAGCTCAACAGTCCCCGAATTTGCAAGTATTGTAGGCCAACCGGCCAAGCGGACAGCATGCAATAGTTCTAGTAACGCCTTATTTATCATTAAAATTTCCACATATTGGCGTGAAACGAAAAAGACAATGTAGTTTGAGAAACATGGCACTTATGAACTCTAACCATAGATTAGGATTATCTCTATGGCTCGAATCCAAGACGCTTTGATCTCTCCACACGGCTTAGACCGGTAGTCAGTAAACTTCATGAACCGATAACAAATATTCACTTGCGTATCCGCAGTCCTCATCCAACCTGATCGAACACTACCCAAATTGTGCATAGGAGTAGGTGGTGCCTGGATAACATACTCCAGACGACACCAATCGATGGATATCTAGAGCCTTCAAAAACAATTTACCAGTTCTACCTACAAACCCATATCTAACCTTGAGAATTACTAGATTGTAATCTCCAAAAATTAATTGCTTTATTGCAAAGATAAAAGGTCAGTTACACATAATTAGAGGTTTACTTATAAAAACGACTCAGAATAACGACTGTTTTGATGCAGATATCACCGACAAAGTTTTTGATTGTTATGTTGTATGATGATGGCTGAAATTGATCAAAAAGAATATCCTTATCTGTGATTAATTTATGAACCTACTATACAGTAAGACTTAAATGAATATAATTTATGGCTGATAATTATGAGTCATTTCAAGGAACGTTCAGGATAAACTGTAGTTTTCTCTGAAGAGAAAGAAAGATACTTCAGTGATATAAATTTATTTGAAAAAGCACTAGTGTCACAACTACTAAAATGATCGAGACATAGTCACTCAAAGCAGCCACCCTGAACACCTATTACACACTCGAGTTTGGCTCCTGAATCCGGGGCGTTCAGTTTTTGCAGCATCCATAAGCAGCTTCAAATACCTTGATTTTGTAGATCAGATGGATCTGTGTTTATATTATTAAAATTTGCATTACTCAAAGTATAGTTGGTGTCTTTCCTAACCACGTTCAAAGTACAATAATCCACAGGGTTGAAATCAGTGGAATCGGAGAACCAAAGGTCAGTAATGGAGAAGTCCTGAAAATTTACAGTCGAGCATCTGGAGGTGTGACTGATTTTGGAATCCTATTGGAACACATATGATCTTCTAGAAGTCATTCTGTTTAACCAAGGCTCGGCGTCGATCCTCAGAATCTCCTTATAATCATCCACATTCAACTTGAGACTTACTAGAAACATTCGAGAACCAAAAGACGTTCGAAGAACCTTTTTAGATCTGCAGGTAATCCATGTTATTGTGTGTTGTACAACTGATCGTGACAAAAATTCAGCCCAGAGAGAAGGACTAAGCTGGTGCTGATTTTGCGGAATGTTCAACTTCGATGAAGGGTTTCTTTGACTTCGCCAAAGCTTTTTGCCGACCTTCCTGTCGGGAGTTGCTCTTTATTTCCATTGTATAAGTGGTAGCAGAGCTCTTCATTTGAAAACTGCTACATGGTGGGAGCTGCAACATCTATGTCCCATTTTAGAGCTCATAATCATTTCCCAGGATCGTTCACCAACTCCTCTTGTAGTTGGTGAAACAATTCTTGTATATAGGAGGAATCAGAATGTTTTTTAAGTCCTTCTGCCGAAGTTGTGTTCTTATAGCATTCACCGCAGCTCTTTATATCATACTTAATTGTTTGCATTTTGTTCAAACAACATTAAGCAATTGTTATGATAAAGGAATCTTCATCTCTAACGTGAATTATCACGATGCAGGGCATCCTTAACCGTTGTTACGATAGGCTCAAATTGTTCAGTTAAAGTGACGTGGGTTTAATCGAGGTGTGTAGGAGAGTATCTGATTTATCACGCATAAGTAAATGCTTATGTTGCAGTATATATAATTCTGTCCTTATATCTTTACGTCCATAAACTTTTGTTCTGATATGTATCTACTCCTCTACTGAACGTTCGAAACACTGAGTGTGGTTAGGTCAACGCCACCCTTATACCAGAGTATTATTGTGGTGCGTGCTACTTATATTGATATAAGTAGTATATAACGTCGTTACTGTAACAACTGTCGGGGGATAAGTCTACTTCCGATTGCGTCCAAACCTTTTGCTTCCGTCATACTTCGTAGGTTATTCAAAACCCGAGAAAGATTGACTCGCGAGGAGCAGGCTGGGTTTCGTTCTGGTCGAGGATGTATTGATCATATCTTCACCCTCCGCCAAATGTTAGAACACCGCCATACTTATCAAAGGCCAACAATCGTAGTGCTTTCGACATCAGGGCTGCCTTCGATTCGCTGGACAGGACTGTTCTCTGGGATTGTCTATTGAAGAACGGTGTGCCTGAGAAGTTTATTAACATCCTAAAAGCCCTATATAAAAACACCTCAGGCAGAGTGAGGGCATACAACCACCTCTCTCCATTGTTCCATTCGAGCAGTGGAGTTAGACAGGGTTGCCCAATCTCACCATTCCTCTTCAACTTTGCCATCGATGACATTCTGGAAACTTTTAATTTTTTATTTTATTTTATTTGAACACATAAATATTGGTACAAGAGAGCGCCAATATATATGCGCCACATTCTGGAAACAGCTCTGATGAATGTAAGTAATGGTGGTGTGGATCTGTTGCCTGGAGAAAGACTTCTCGACCTTGAGTATGCGGACGATATTGTCTTACTGTGCGATAATGCCCAAGGCATGCAATCTGCACTTAATCAGTTGGCAATCAGTGTCCGTAGGTATGGTATGTGCTTTGCACCTTCGAAGTGCAAAGTACTTCTACAGGACTGGCAGGATTCCAATCCTGTACTCACCCTGGATGGTGAGCAGATTGAAGTAGTCGAGAAGTTCGTGTATCTGGGTAGCTGCATAAGTGCTGGTGGGGGTGTGAGTGATGAGATCAATGCACGAATAGTGAAAGCCAGAGCGGCTTATGCCAATCTGGGCCATCTATGGCGCCTTCATGATGTTAGTCTGGCTGTAAAAAGGTCGGATCTACAACGCGTCGGCGAGAGCAGTCTTGCTCTATGCTTGTGAAACCTGGTCTCTCCGAGTTGAGGACGTTAGACGACTCTCTGTGTTCGATCATCGCTGTCTCCGAAGGATTGCTGACATTCAGTGGCAACACCATGTCAGTAATGCAGAGGTTCGGCATCGTGTGTTCGGGCACAGAGATGATAACTCAATTGGTGTCACCATCTTGAAACACCGACTTCGGTGGCTTGGACATGTTCTCCGAATGTCGTCCCAGAGAATTCCACGTCGTGCATTATTTGCCGACTCTGGGACTGGTTGGAAGAAGCGGAGAGGTGGTCAGTGCATGACATGGTGTCGTGGCATGAAAGAAAGCTGCAAAGGACTGGCTTCTGTTGGTCCTTCACGACTCCCTGGTTGGGGTCTGAGAGATGGTGCTACACAGTGGCTATAGACGTTATCAGATATGGCTCAGAATAGAAGCCAGTGGCGATCCTGCTGTAACCTTCTTTTACTTTCTTCATAAAAAGTGGTTGTGTCTCCCTTACCTGAAAGATTTCTTCTGATTGTACCTTTCCGTTCCCTCATTACTACCGCACTCCCTTACAGCAATCTCTTCGTTATTGTTCTCTTTTTTTGCGCTCCTTAGCTTTTTTTTCTATTTCTCTTCGAATTCTCATTGTCTTGTGTGGCGCATATATATTGGTGCTCTCTTGTACCAATATTCATGTGTTCAAATAAATAAATAAAAGAACATAATGTCTGGCAGCAGAAGATGGGGAAGATTACGAAAGGAAGAGCGAGAACGCAATGGAATTTGTAAGAAATCTCGTGAACAATGAAATGTGAGACAATGGATTGATGTTTGCAACAGCAACAGTCCGGTTTGATATGATGGAATGATATTTTGCAAATTAACGATTTACTATATGGTTTTCTATTTTACAAAGTAACTGTAATTTGGTGCTAAATACAATTCGGCTGTCCTCACCTGTGTTCTCCTTCATTACACTATATCTGAACATTAGAAATGGTAAAGTTGAAAATCCGGTTTTGTCTAAATCATCTCAGGCAATTAAAACATATGTACAGTACCACTTTCTTTTCGCCTTCAGTATACACACGAAAGTTCGGTCAAGTTGAGTAATCCAAATAATTTAAATAGAGCAAGAACAAACATTGATGCAGAATAGTATGAATTCATATTATTTCGAGGTTTCTCGTCAGCTGCTTACAAACCAAAATCGTGATAGAATTTTTACATGGAGATAGTGTGAAACAATTGACATAAATGAGTGTAAATAACGTGATTACAATAATAACTATATATATATATGTTAGAAACAGGTCAGAGGTCAAACGAGGGGGGTTAATCCAGGGTGGGTGGTGTAATAATTTAGTGAAGTTCATAAATTGTGTGATAATTGTAGAGATTAATGGAATTAAATAATGATAAGGTAGATTACGTAATAATAATGAAATAGGGTTTGGAAAGTTAAGATGATTTAAGAGAACCAGGTGATGGAAATGTGTGAATACAATTTATTTTAAGAATTAGGTAATAGGGGGGAGTATAAATGATCTTAGAATAAGTAAATGAATAAAATAACCAAAACACAAAACAAACAGAAACAAAAGGATTACCAGGGTAGTGATAAGTTTATTAAAGTCTCTTTTTGGATGCATAAGTCCGGTTTCAGTTTCTTAATTGCAATGGCTTCAGCAAAGCGGAGAGTGGTAGTAGTTCTTTGTCTATTGATAATTTTAAACGCGCGCATAATATCGACGGTATGCCCGGTGTCAAGTAAATGCCGAGTTATTGCACTGTTAAAAGCTTTAGTCCCTCGTAGCGTCAAGTTCTTCGGAATATGCTCAGAAATGCGAACCTGTACTCTTCTCTCAGTTCTTCCAATGTATGCGCTACGGCACGTACATGTGAATCGGTAAATGCAGTTGGAGCAACTGAGGGGAGAGGACTTGTCGATTTTCGTTTGTTTCAGTGAGCAGTATGTTTTCCATAACGTAGTCAGTTTGGCTGCCGGGTAGGTCACTTTTAAAGCGGAATTAATTCTGTGATTGATAATTCCGGCGACTTCATCTCCTTTGAAGCGTAAGGATAGGAAGCAGGTTTTCTTTTCAACTGTATCATGCTTAATCGGAGGGTTTGTATTCGCATATTTGTGGATGAATTTATCCGGATATGCATTTTCACGTAGGCATTTGGTGATTGTAGTAATTTCTTCTTCGAGGCATTCTTTTGAACAGATTTTTCGTGCGCGGTCAAAAAGGTTTCGTACAATACCCTTTTTATAACTCATTGGACAGAAGCTGTTAAAGTTGAGATAAACTCCGCTCCAAGTATTTTTGCGGTGAATGTGTCTTTGTAGTGTGCCGTCTGATGTTCGCCTAATTCCAATATCTAGGAAATGGAATTTATCATCAACTTCATGTTCCATGGTAAATTCTATATCTTTGTGTACTTTATTGAACAGACTAAGTAGGTACATGGAGTGTTGGTGATTTTTGCAGACAAGGAACGTGTCATCCATATGTCTGCAGTAGAGTGTGCTACTGTCGATTGTGTGCTTCAGTTTCTTTTGTTCCAGATGTCCCATAAGTATGTCGGCAAGAATTGGGCCTAGAGGGCTGCCCATTGCTATTCCATCAATCTGTCGGTACAGAACATTGTTAAATTTAAATTGTATGTTTTTTGTACACAAAAACAGGAGCTGTTTAAATTCCTGGGGTGGTAAAGGCAGGAGTTCTGGATATTCACATATGATCTCTGCCGTTTCTTCCAGGGGGATATTTGTGAAAAGCGAAGAGACATCAAATAAAATCATGAATTTGTCAGAGACATTAAGGTTACCAAGTTTTTGTACAAATTCAAAGCTGTCTTTCAAACTGTAGGCTGCTAGTTTTTTGCGGATTGGTTCCAAGCATCTAGTAAGCCAGAGGGCAAGTTTATGGAAAGGTGATTTGGCCATCGATAATATAATATATAATCCAAATAACGTTTACATTGGCGGAGTATGTAGGGAAAGAATACTTCTAGATAGCGGCTAGCAATCGAATTTAGGAAGTGTGTTTCGTCTCACTCCTTACTCGTCAGCTAAACACACCTACATCCTAGAGTTGATGTTCACAATGTGAGACTGCAACCGATTACCTATCGTCTGAAATGCCGATACATTATCCAAAAAAAAGAATGAGCAACGATAGTCATCAATTCGTTTTACAGCCATGATATCTATTAGTATCACGAGTGATTCACATCTTCGATGATAAATTTTATAATAACTGGGAAAATTTGAGAATAATGGTAATACGCCAGGTTGAGAACCAAGAACTAACCTTAGCTTCTATTTTCGAACCTTTCCAAATGTGTCCATCCAAAACAGAGATAGCAAAATCACGATCAGCGGCAGATCTGAAAATCGATTCTATGAAATATTTTACACAAATTACTCAAATGAAAGAAAGGCTAAACCGCATTTTGGAAACTTTATCTTGCAAAATTTTACATTCAATGACTGTAACATCTTCTTCATTACCTTCAAATGAAAAATAAGAAAAAAGGTTGAGATTTTGCTCCTTACTGTTATAAAATTAGGTATGCAAGATAGACTAGTCAAAATCTAGTACTTAACATCAATAATGAGAAGATTCAAAAAGCTTTAGAATGTTAAATTCATCCGCGTTTAACAAGTTAGTGACTATATGAACTCAAGAGCCCGGTTGATAACGGTTCGCATATTTGAAGTGAAAAGCACTGGGTTTCAGTCCCGATATGAATGCTAACATTGGTATTAAGGTACATCCACCTAGCGAACCCCAAACGGAACGAAACGCAGGACTCAGCTTCCATTGATAGAAAAACTATCAAACCTAACTGAAAAACATGTGACGTAGTGACAGTACCACGGCAATTCTCTCAGGACGCATACGTCCCAAAAAATACATCAAAATTCAGTCCATAACATCAACAACGGGAAAATTCAGAAAGCTTTACTCATAAAAATGCAGAAGTTAGTTCAGTGTCGGGAAATTTAACAAGATGAGGTAGGTCAAAATTGCCTCAATTATTTGCACTATATCAGACAGACAGAAGTATAGGGGTTAAGGTATAAATGTGGATCTATTCAACTTGACATACTTAATATTAACACAATCACTAAAAAAATTTAAGAAGAGGAAAAGAAATTTGGGATAATAGTTATATTTATAGTAGTAGAAAAGGGCTAACGAAATCGACGACAGGTGAGAGATAATCTGGCATTAAAGAATCAGAGAAGAATGCAGAAAGAATACATCTGTGTCAGTGTGATTGATATTAATACATATCACTTGAAGTCTCAAAACCAGTGTTTACCGCTATTTCGAGCATTCAAAGAAAGTCTACACGTCGATATGACGTCACCGAACGATTTCGTGTTGTCGCCTGACCGTCATTATTTTTAAATCACATTATTCCTACGTTAACCATCTAGAATGACTGGTATTCTGTAATCAACATTAGCACTGTTCACTTGATGATTTCAATACGCTTATAAAGTTAAAAAATCGCAAGGCAGAAGACCAAACTCAAAAGAGTTAGATGAAGGTATAACCACTACTAAGAACATATTTAATGCAAAGATAAAAGTGAACATGAGACGAAAACAGCCCTTATAAATACAAGATGATCTAGAATATTTAGATTCAGAATTGTTGAGTCTAGAAGGAATACGGCCTGTGTCATTACTTCTCTAGTAAGCCTCTGGGAGTGTCTAGTCGTCTCTTGAATAAGTCAATTGAAGGGATAGACACCACTACATTGGGTAACAGGCTCCAAGAATTGATGGCTCGGTCTGAAAACCTGCATCCCACGAATATTTTGTGCATTCTTAGCCCTTGTACTCACCTGCTATTTCTTCCAAGTTTTCCTGATATGGTAGGAAGAAAAAGAGGATATATCAGGTTCAAAATCATTTCTTAGTATTCAATACATCAAAATCAGATCAACTCTTAATCTACCGTAGGATAGAGTAAAGAGGTCAGGCTTTTCAAGCCGCTCTCTGTGTGGCTAACCCCGAAGTTCTGGAATTGCGTGGGTACCTCCTCTCTGTACTTTTTCCACGATGGCTGAGTCACCTTTAAAAAACAGGGAATTGAAGCCTGAACGCAGTTTATAAGTTTGGATCTTAATACAGTTGTGAATACTGTAGTAAACATATTAGTATACAACTTGGTAAGCTCATTGGGTTGTGACCTCTTTAACTGCGACCGCGATGAAGTGGGCCTTGATCTTAAGATAATGGCTTATTGTTACCCTAAGATTATTGTGAGACCGGACTACAGGTACCGACTCTCCCCTTATGCTGTACCTATTTACCTATGTATCACTAGTGTGCATGTAGATACACTTGGCCTCGTTGATGGGCATCAGTCATTTTTTGAACCAGATAATCAGGACATCTAAGTTCTCCTGAAGTCCACACGCATCTGCATCTCCCGTTATTTCTCGCCAAAATGTTATATCATCAGCGTAAAGTAGCATCGGAGACTCAACTACACTTGGGAGTTCATTTACATACAGTATAAAAAGTAAAGGATCTAGAACAGAGCCTTGAGGTACTCCACTAAGTACTGGTTTTCAGAGGAATCATTTTGAGTTTACTCTCATTTTCTACCACTCACTATGATATCCTTGACTTAATTTAGGTGACGTCTGGCGATTCCTGGACTTCCCAATCTTAAAAGAAGTCTATTATTCAGCACCTTATCAAATACTTTTCAGAAGTCTACGGCGACAACATCCGCTGATTCGCCATTATTTGGAAACTGAACATTTCTCTCTTGCTACAAGGAGGTTTATTGCGCAAGATAATCCTTTCCTGAAACCATGTTGTTTGCTGCTAGACAAGTTGTTGGTTTCTGTCATAATTCTCTATTACGTTATAACTCAGCTATTCCTACTGCTTAGTATTCTCGGACACTAATTCACTCGACAAGTCCCCAGATCAGAACACGGTTGAACAGGACAGAGATTATATTCCAAATAACAAGGTTACATGGAAGTAGGAAGTACAATAGGAAAAACGTTAATATACTTATAGTTTTTACATGAGATTTCTAGAGTATTCTCTAAGTATCGACTAGCGCTGATTGGATAAGAATTAGCCAATCAGAGCGCGCCAACGCAAGCGTGCATTGAGCATGATTTAATCCAGTCTATGTCCCGTTAACGGTTTCAATGAATGGCCTTTTGATAATTCTTTCCAGCATTTCAACTACGACACTAAATGAGGCTGACATCTGTAGTTTGATGAAATTTGTTTTGATCCTACCTTATAAGTCGGAGCGACGATTGAATCCTTCCAGTCAATAAGTAACTCACCTTGGTCAACTGACATATTGTATTTGGGTTTAGTCCTTCGCTTAGAGAAGGCTCTTGAGTGAAGACTATCCAGAAATAGTCCGCCATGGCCTCTGCTTTGTCCTGGATTTCCTCTTTCATTTGATGCACTCCCGTAAATAGGTTGAGAATCCAATGGTGCGTTCCCGTTCTGTAACTTATGTACGAGAAGTCTATTCGGCTACTTGAATACAAACTGTGTCAACCGCTATTCGTATTTCCCCGGAGCTGCCCAGATTGAGCTTAAATACTTACTTCGGATGGAACTTTCGCGTTCCATCGTATTCGTTGTGTTAAAGCTGATGGTGATGTTCCAATATTTTTTCGTCTTAGTAAATATTAAGTATCTCGGTCTATCCAGAGATGGCCGTGCTTTTTCTTTTTTGGAACTGTCCAGGGCATAAATGGTTGAGTTATTTGATTGTATAACTGCTGTAAGTCCAGGCCTCCCCTATTGATTCGCCGGAGTCAATTTCCCCGTTTTCAGTCGAGGCTGCTGAGTTAATCCCATTGATGTCTGCTTCCCATATATTAGGACTGACCGGCACAACTGCTTGACAGACTATATTAACCGTGAGCTTGAATAAGATGACCGCATAATCACTACTCCCTATAGGTGGGAGGATCGTCATTTAAATGACCTCACCACCGTAGGTGAAGACTAAATTCAAGACAGACGAAAAGTTTTGATAGTCATATCTGGTGAGATCCCGTGTGTGTTGAGATAAAGCCGGAGTAATTGTGGTTTCTAACAATTTGTAATTAAATAATGGTTGTGATAACCCTACTTCTAAGTTTTCCCAATTCGAAGTGAGGATTAAGGTCACCTACCATAAGGTTTTTACACATGTTTGACTAGGATATAATTTTATTTAGGAGGAAGTCATCCACTACACATTCTGGACTGCGATGCACTACAACTAATTTAATGTCTTACCTTTGTATTTCAGATGGCACCACGCCAGCTCACATGTTTCTGAGTCGTGTGACTCTCGATAGCTCATATGGTTAATGTGCTAATTATGTAAAGGATAACCCCACCACCTCTACGGTTTAGTCTGTAAGCCCAACAAAGGCACCAAACAGTTGAATTTCACTACTATTAGCTTCTGAAGTTAACCACGTTTCTTTAGGGGTTTCTGTGTCCACCACGGTTCTGAGCTCCGTCATTTTATTGGACAGGTTGCAAGTATTTGCATAGCATGTCCTTAATCACGTGAAATGTTATCCCGTACCACCCAAAGTGGTTTGGGCATGGCTTTACTCCAGTCAGTCAGTCAGCTACAACGTAGGACCAGGCACATATGTGCATCGGTCCAGGTTGCCATACCTCATTAGCACAGCAAGATGAACAGCGGATTCATAGGAGTGGTTAGGTCAAAGGTGGTAATATATAGGAGAAAGATTGCAATAAGGATATAGTATAGGAAGAAAGATATGAAGCGATTTTAATCTCTTAGTTTAAGGGAAGACAGGGAGTGTATACACCGACACCATTGTGATCGATTTTGAGCCATGTCACTAAGAGTCTTCAACTATTGGTTACGATCGTCACGCGGACCCCAACCAAGTAGTCTGCATCTACCAACATGGCTCAGACTAAAATTTAGTGTCTTCAGGCACTGATGCCACGTTTTGGTTTGGCCGCCCCTAACTTATTTATTTATTTTAACACATAGATATTGGTACAAGAAAGCACCAAATACATATGCGCCACACAAATCTCATTCGACATGTGTGACGGCTGCGATACTGCTCGAGTGCCCAAACCGAAGCAGGTGGTTTTCTTAGGGGGCCACTCCCCGAGCCTTTGACCTAAAGGTCTAACCCACAAGGCAGTGGAGCATCGTAAGGAGATGCCATACCATGGTAGCCGGTGACCAACGATTGGTTCATACGCCATTTGTTCCCCCAGGATACTGGAGCCCATGTGCACCATTGGTTTGTGATCCGGTTAAAGCGCCGGACATTCGCTTTTCGTCCTCTCATTTTCGTAAACAACACCCCTGTCACGAGAAGGCAATGAATAGGACTTCCGTGGCAGAGGCTGTATACGCGCGGCCATGTGAGGGCATTTCGAGAGGGAGAGCGGACTTTCCCCACTCTCGGCCATACCAGGGCATTTGGGGGCGCCGCCCCTAACTTTCTTTCAACCATCCCCTACACCGGTTAGCATTGCACGTCGTGGTAATCGGTGTTCACGCATACGTAATACGTGGCCCAACCATCTCAGTCGATGAAGATTCATAACCTCATCAACTGATTTACCATTATTCCCTAATACCCTGCGTCTAACCTCACTATTACTTACTCGGTGATCCCAGCAGATGCCAGCAATATTTCTAAGGCATCTGTGGTCAAATACTAGTAGCTTACGGGTGTCTTCTACTCCTAAGAGCCATGGCTTTACTCCGAACTTTTACAATGCGAAAACCCTTAGGTACAAGGATTTTTTAAGAGGCGACTTGCTTGAGTACTTTCAGAGTCTACTTTTTGTCCTATTCTGTGAAGGATATTAATGCTAATACTGTTTTGGGCAGTAGCTGGTTTATTGAGGACTAAATGTGGCTTAGATCGTGATCCAACTAAACCTCTGATTCTTTTTCTGAAGACTCTCTTAAATCACAAAAAACAAACCTCTCTGCGAGGTATTTTGAAGAGCATTGAGACTTTTGGTTCCTAATCTCTTTGCATCTTCGCAGTCCTATTTGGCAAGAAACGTGCAGGTCTCGCTTTTTTTCTTCATTTCCTAGATGCTACTATCAGCCGATCACTGACCTTATATTGATTCCGGATCGAATCATCTACAACGTCCAGGCTTTGCTCATGAATATTCTATTTTGTGTTGATATGGGTATCAGTAGAGATTGCTATATTTTGCATTTTCTCTGCTTGCATCTTTCACTTGTAACCATGCCTATATTTATTTGGCATCCACTAAACTGTGATGGTCCATCTTGATGACTTCATTTAGATCTTAATCTGGACTCATGAAGATGTCATTGCATCCTTGAAATCTGGCAGCTGCTCATCTCCTGCTGGTTGTTTGTGTGAGGGCATCTTCTTATATGTGTTCAGCAGCTCAATCACCTCAAGAATCCGTAGAAATACGTGGAAGGCATAGTAACGACAGCGGAGAAAGCTGCAAGAGAAGGAAATATCAAACAACTATATGACACAACGAAGAAACTGGTATGGAAATATAGTAAACCAGAGACCAGTCAAAGACAAAGAAGGAAGGTCAATCACCGGCATTCAAGAACAAAGGAACAGATGGGTAGAAGATTTCGAGAAACCCTTGAATAGGTCATATCCATTGAATCCACAGGATGTTGAAGCGGCACCTTCAGACTTTCCCATAGATGTCACTCCACCATCGATCGAAGGAATCAGCGTGACCATCAGACAAATCAACAATGGGAAAACAGCAGAACCTTACAATATACCAGCCGAAGATCTGAAGTCAGACACAAAAGTCACTGAAAACATACTCCACGTTCTATTATGGAAGATTTAGCAGGGAGAACAAGTTCAGACAGACTAGAAAGAAGGACACCTCATCAAGATACCAAAGAAAGGATATCTGAGCAAATGTGAGAACTCGGCTGCAGAGGCATCACACTACTATCGGTACCAGGAAACGTCTCCAACAGTGTTGCTGAACAGGATGAAAGATTTTGCAGACGCCCAACTTCGAGAACGACAGACAGGATAATTGAGTGGCTTTAGATCCTAACTTAAACTTCCTTTTTAGGGGTTTAACTTTATTAGCTTGATTTATAATCCAAAAATATTTAGAGAAATAGGCCACTAAAGAAACTGAAGAAACGCCCCCGAATGCCCTGGTACGGCCGAGAGTGGGGAGAGTCCGCTCTCCCTCTCGAAATACTCTCATACGGCCGCGCGTATACAGCCTCTGCCACGGAAGTCCTATTCATTGCCTTCTCGTGACAGGGGTGTTGTTTACGAAAATGAGAGGACGAAAAGCGAATGTCCGGCGCTTTAACCGGATCACAAACCAATGGTGCACATGGGCTCCAGTATCCTGGGGGAACAAATGGCGTATGAACCAATCGTTGGTCACCGGCTACCATGGTATGGCATCTCCTTACGATGCTCCACTGCCTTGTGGGTTAGACCTTTAGGTCAAAGGCTCGGGGAGTGGCCCCCTAAGATAACCTGCTTCGGTTTGGGCACCCGGGCAGTATCACAGCCCACACACAAATGATGAACTCTCTATGTCTATGGAAACTACTTTTCTCGCTTCGAAAAACAATCAATTGATTCAAATTATTATCATTACAATTATTGTCATTATTATTATTATTATTTTCCACATTATTCACCCTCTTTTATACTCATACAGCGGCTCGTCTTTGATGGAAATGCGACTGTATCTAAACGTTCTCGAGTCACTGTCCGGTTGAAAATTGTATGTTACCATCGAATATGAGTACTGAAGCAGTTTTTCTGAAACCACGTGCGCCATTCAAACTGGCTGCCTTCAACGTTCGCACACTCATTCAGGTTGGACAACAGATAGGGCTGGCTATGTCTTTGGAAAGTCTTCATATCGATGTCTGCTGTCTATCCGAGACCCGTATTTAAGACTCTGGTGAAGTACTACAAAATCGAACTCCATCTGTCGCTTCGAAAAGCTTGTTTTACGTGCGCTTATCCGGGGACCCTGTTGCATCTTCGTCTGGTCTTGCTGGCGTTGGTGTCGCACTAAGCGCTAAAGCTGAGGCAGCACTAGTCGATTGGATCCCCATTAACAGTCGGTTATGTGCTGTTAGATTAGAAATTTCCATCACACACACTACACTACCTTACACCAATCTCTTCGTTATTGTTCTTTTTTTGCGCTCCTTAGCTTTTTTTTCTATTTCTCCTCGAATTCTCATTGTTTTGTGTGGCGCATATATATTGGCGCTCTATTGTACCAATATTCATGTGTTCAAATAAATAAATAACACTAAAGAAACTGACAAAGGAATGTAGTTCAAGAAGATCAATCCGAAAGTTTATATCTGACTCTTTTTTGTTGTTCTGGATTACACTTTATTATTCCGGTGAGTCAGGTAACAATTAATTTTTATTTGTAAGGTTTTGGCTAAAATAGAAGGCTTAAAATTATGATAATTTGATTAAATTAATCATAAAACAACTCTTACAGAGAAACCTGCATGACGAGAAATGTTCTTCAGTTGTATTTTGAATGCCTCTGAAGTGAAAGTATTCCGTCTAAGATAAGAGTATGGACAGTTTGGATTTGAGCAAGTAGATACACCATCTGTTTTACCCTCAACGCCATTATTTTCTTTAGATATATCAGTTTTTGAATTGTTCATACAGTCACATGTAAGTGTAGATGTGTTTACTGGTGAAAGTTTATCAGTTTCGGCATTACTTTCCATTACTATTTAAATTTCTACAAAATTATATAAACCACATATATCAAACAGATTATCACAAAACATTTTTTACATTAATGAATATTGTTCAATCAATCATCATATTCGAGTTCACCAAGACAACTAATAATAAAAAACGATGTATTTCAGTAATCATCTGGAAATTGATGGACTATGTCAAAAGGTGCAATAATTTTAACAGATTATTGGTTGAACGTCGGTTGAGGGATTCAAACATATAACATCAAATTAGTTACTTATTTAATTTAGAAATACTATTTTAAATTGTAGCACTTCAAAATCAGTGGTTCTCAGTAGAGCAACAATCTGACTAAAAATCGGAAAAGCTGTATGATTTTTGAAACGTTATCATATGGTTATTGACAATAGCTGTGTGCTGTAGAGGAAATTATACTCACTAGTCTTATGTGAAAACGGTACTTTTTCTACAAAAATAGCGATAATCAATTTATATTGTCAGGATAAGATGCATATTTAAGGAAGATCTAGTGAAAGAATTAAAGAAATTCATATCTCGAAATTGATAGTGTATAAGGGCTTCATAATTTTAAGATCACTTAGTTCACTTCTCTTGTATTGGATATAGAAGGTGAGTTCCTAACGGCTTGATTCCTATAAATATTTACGTTGTTGAAGGTGAACAAAATATCACAAAATTCAAACCATAAGAAAATAAATAGACTGAATAAACGCAAATCTTCCTGAAAATAAACTAAATGAAATCCATATTTCAAACAAACATGTATCATAGGGTACTGGCCGACTAGTAATATTTTATTAGGTATACATAAATTAATTTAATGAAATACTCGGGTGAAACTTTACAAAACAGAAAAGCAATATTCAACCACGTTTAGTAGTAGTGTTTTGATGGGCAATGGCAGTCGATTTTCAACCACTAGGTTACTGATTTACACAAAGTTCCGCTTACTTCGATCTGAGCAACTGGGTAAGATTATTAACTCACAGAAAGCAGTGGCACAGAGCCAAGTACATAGACTTCTACTTCGTTATTGATTTGGATATATTAACGAAATCAAATAAGTTAAATTCATTAGTTTATAGTTTGTGTTACATTTCAAGCGTGTGGTGTAGTAAATTCATATGAGCTCTGCTGACCGCTAATAATCATTGCCTAAATGTTTATCGTAACCATTAATTTAGCGCCTATTTGGTTTTTCTAGTCCTAATTTCGGTACTGAAACCTACTATAATGCCATTAAATTCAGTTAAGGGGACATGGTTGGGAAGAAACAGATCTTCTGTATACTAAACCTTTCACAATACTATATTCAATAACCAGACAAAAAGTAAGTCTATACATAGTATTGCGGGTGAATAAACAGTCTAATTAACCCCAATGGACTACTAAAAAAGAATCCCAATAGGTTTATCACATCAGATAATAAAACAAACACTTAAGGTTTGCATACAGGCACAAAAGAGGGAGAAAATTTCTGGATAAAAATTTGTTTATTCGTAAAAAAAATCATCCCATTAAGAACACAAAAATTGACGTTGTATTTCTCCCAGCAAAACTGAAGCAGCTGACAAAACATTCAAGCTGTTTATTCTATCTGCAGATGGGATAACAAGTCGAGAACCACCGGTAAGGTGGACTAAATGAAAAGCTTCCGGAGAAACACCATGAGTTTCAGATCCAATAACAACAGCTAAACGACAATCATGTTCCGCAGAGTTGTAATCGGAAGGAATATAGTTTACTGCAAAATGTGGGATAGTTTGTACAGGTAAGCGATATGCGGAATCTGTTGACTCAGGAGTAAGAAAATCAATAGCTTCACACTCGACTGATATTTTGCACTCATTAATATATTGTGACTGATAGTTCTAGAAATAAAAAGAACCATGATTACAGAAAAAATGTATCTGAATAATAGGAATTATAGAACTAAATATTAAACACTGTTAACTACTAAAGGAAAGGCAGAATTTTTAGATAAAAATTAAAACAATATTACACAAAAATCATTACACTTCAAATGAAGACCAATATGTTGAAAATACTCTAAAGGATTATGAGTGCTTAAATTAACTTATGAACTCTTTCCTACCTACAATAAAAGAATGTGATAGAAATAATAGAAACTCGAAAATTAAATAACTCAAAAGATATAACACAATAGTGAGTTATTACAAAACGCTAAATTGTGTACAGATTTGAGTGGATGAATGTTTTAAAGGAATATATATGGATATGACCCGTTCAGTTCTGTTTTTTTACTAATCCAATAGCAGTATCTATATCCACAAGCTATATGCAGAAACTTAATTTTAGAAATTAACTTAGATAATGAACTATTCAAAATCACAATTAAATCTCTTAATTCATCGATCACATTGTACGTCTTGATCAAAAGACTAGCCAAATTAGTTTTCCATGAGCTTGATTAACATTTGAACAGATTCATGACAGTATTTCTGGCTCTAATGTTAACAAATTTGGATTTGTCAGTTAGTGATAAGCGACTCAGAACCTAGTATATATCTACATCAGTTCAAGTTGCCACACCACAACAAAGATGAAATTTCACAAGTTGAAATCATGAGTCAGTTGAAGCTAGACCACCATTGAAAACCTGGAAGCACTGGACGGCCGTTTCGTCCTAGTATGGGACTCCTCAGCAGTACGCATCCACGATCCCGCACCACGCGGGGCTCGAACCCAGGACCTACTGGCTTCGCGCGTGAGCACTTAACCATTAGACCACTGAGCCGGCATCCAACGGTTTTCACGGTGGTCTAGCTTCAACTGACTCATGATTTCAACTTGTGAAATTTACTAAAAATCTCCACAAAACTCATTCTGATAATAATCATCTGCTCACTAGTGACTGACTTCAGGAGAACCTTCTGGAGTTCTAGTGAGAAGCCGTCACCAGTGGAGTTCAACCAGGTCTGTTGTGAGATATCAGCTCACTGAAGACATTGGTGTTCGATGGCGCAACTTCGTGGATTGGTTGAAGTTAGACATTAACACCGTTGGATGCCGGCTCAGTGGTCTAATGGTTAAGTGCTCGCGCGCGAAGTCAGTAGGCCCTGGGTTCGAGCCCCGCGTGGTGCGGGATCGTGGATGCGTACTGCTGAGGAGTCCCATACTAGGACGAAACGGCCGTCCAGTGCTTCCAGGTTTTCAATAGTGGTCTAGCTTCAACTGACTCATGATTTCAACTTGTGAAATTTACTAAAAATCTCCACAAAACTCATTCTGATAAAGATGAAATTATCAATGTGAATACTAAAGTTGTAGAGGTAGTACTCTCATTGGCAGTAAAAATTATTAACCACAAAGAATATGATTAGAGGAGAAGGAAGTTACTGTATGAACTGGTGTTCCTAGTATACATAATTCTTAGTGTGAAAGGCTTATCTAGTAATAAGTATCAAAGTTGAAGACATCATAGAAACTTCAGCAGTCAATACAAAGGACAAAAAAGATAGATGGATCACAGAGCCTCACTAAAGTTGAAATAGCAATACAGGAAATACTACAAAACTACAACCACATAAAAGAGAACTCGCCTCGCGATATCTTAAACTTAGAAACTGATATTTACCCAGTTTTTACAATTTCAACAATAATATTTACTATGTAACGTGGCTACAAGTGTTAGTGAACGAGTGCTATCGCCATGAGCGGTTGCAATAATTAATAATTCATACAGTAAAAAGGCACAGGTTCATGGGCTCAGAGTTCAGTTGTAGTTTAATAGTCTAGTGATACTACACCTGTCTACTCAAATCACAGCTAGGTTGATCAGGGCTCAAACCTTCTCCTTTAGTTGTTGGACGGTCAGTGTTTCAACTACCACTTCGGGTAGCTGCGTGAAAGATTTTGACTCAACGATTTGCCAACTAGGGTTAATATGATTATATATATATATACTGGTGGGTATTTATGTATATACTCACTTGTACGCAGCCCAACTTACAAGATTCGAAAATGTGAACAAGAAATAGTTAGTAATGGATAGAGGTTAACTCACAGTTTGGTCTTTTTTCCATGCTGATTCGATTAATTTATCAGTCAAGAGTGGTTCAGGGTCGGCTACAAAGACTTTAATATGAGAGGATGAACCATCACGTATTCCAAAGTATCGACTAATATCGGTCCAGCTTAGTCCTTGATAGACAGGTATGCGGAAATGACCAGACATTCCTGCCCGTATCACTTTTGTATTCCAAATATCAACACTACCTGAAGCGAAAAGACTAAACGTTATCAAACTGTTGAATACGATGAATAATGATATCTTTAATTTTCTAATGGATTAACTTAGAGATAATTCGTTTGACTTCGTATATCAATTACCCTGATAATTGTTATTAAATAAATCCCAACGGTGTATTAATTCAGAAGACAACACGACGCGTTGTCCATAGTTTATTATCGAACAGCACAGATCACTAAGCCACAAGCACCATAAGTGAATTTGAGCAGAAAAGCTAATGCGCGCGAGAGGACTCAGAGACAAATTAAGAGTCGAACGAGTCGAACCGATTAATGAGATTCGAGTGTTATATATGTGGGAAAGCGAACAATTCATCGAACGATTTAAGCAACTAACATCTTAGCTAAAGAGAGGGACATATGCATATGCCACCACATGTGACCAAGCATACATGTCCGTACAGAGATGGTAAAATAATAAAAGAAAGATATAGACAAATTGTTACTGTTAGAATAACTGTTAAATAAGTTAATTAAACGGCTTGAAAAACCTAGACGTAAACAAACTTAAGTGTAGGAGAGGTGCTATAAACTAAATATAGTTTTTAACATTTGTGTAGAGAAAATACAAAGACCAATCAGTAGCAGTGGAAGGCAAGATAAGGATACTGAAATCCTAGTTAACTAACACGTCAGTCATCATCAACGTAAGACATGACGCGATTGTGCATTGGTCTATAAGAATTTCGATATCAGAGCCCCTGCGTATATATTGGTCATGTAACTTCATCGAGTAGTGTATCAATGACTATCGGTTAACCACAAATCACTTTTCATTTATATTTAATTATATCGCAAAATAATGGTTGCAATTACTCATGGGGTGGAAAAGAAACTGAGACTAATAGGACATCTATAAACCTAGTTTAAAAAATTTTCATCCACCAAATAGGCTCACTGATAAATATGAACGCACATCGACATTAGTTATCAAGTACTGTCTAAGATACATTTTAATCCATCGAATAGTCAGTCAGTCAGTAACAACGTAGAACTTTGTACGTACGTACATCAGTTCGAGTTGCCATATCACATTAGCACAGAGATGCAGTTGTCAATTCAAATCCCGTAGTGGTAGAGGTAGTAAGAGTATAAGCAGTAATCGGGAAGATTAGTGTTTGGAGATGTTACTTAAAGAGTATAATACAGTGAAATAAATTTGGGAAGAGGAAAAAAAGGGACATA